TCTGTTTCTGCTGTATTTGCCAAGTCTTCCTTTAAGGCTGCTGTTTTCAACATGTCCAAAAAATGCTTAATTTGAAGAGGAAAACTTGGTGGGTTTTAGGCATGCTTTAGAGCTATTCTGTCTGGCATGAAATGCTGAGGCTACTTGATATCTCTAGGACAAATGTCTGAGTTAGATGCTAATATCACACAATTGGAGATGGTCTATTTAAAAGAACAAACAAACAAAACTATTGTAGTTTTTTATCTCAATATCCTCTCTGTGTCCCTTTTTATCCTAGAATTTGAATTTACATTTTTCATTTTGTCATACTGTAGTTTGTATCTTTGAGATCACAGAGTTACTTGAGGGTATACTGCACTCAATATCCTTCAGTTTGTTTTTTAAGTAAGGGAATTTATGGCTTAGGTGTTTTGGGATAAGAGGGACGATAACTGACAGCCATGACAGAAGAAGAAAACTAAACAGAAAAATTTCTTATGTTTTCAAGACTTAACTCCAAAGTTGTAGATTGAAAGAAATAGCTAAGTGTATGTGTTTAAAAAGAAAAAGTGTGTGTGTGTGTAAATATATATATATGTATATAAAGATTCATATTAAATATGTCCATGAGCTTACCATTTGGGCTCCTCACAATCATCTATGCAACATTCAGAAGGTCTCCTAACATAACCAACTTTACGTTATTTGGAGGATGTCAGTGGCTTCAATGTGCTGCTCTTTTCACTCTTTCTCATCAATTTTGTAACATGGTTAGTAGTGAATTAGAGCGATCAGGTTTTTTAGTAGGTCACTTTATATATTTGGTGAAGATTCCTTCACCTGCACATCCTTTGTGTTACACATAACCTGTGGCATGCATGCCAGCATTTCTTGCTTGATAAAACTGTAGCTCGGAAGAAAGTGATGCATTATAGCCAAGTGGTTAAATTGCTTTTGCAAAAGCAAAAGCTTTTGCAATAGTGTTTGAGATTTGAACTTTGAAATGTGCTTTTGGTAATAACTGGCTCATTCTTTGAAGATGGTTCTGCCTCTGAAAAATCAAATACTTCTTGCAAAAAGAAAATAAAAAGGAAGGAAGATAAAAATGAAATATGCATTTAGGAGTGAAAAATACACCGAAATGTCATTACTGGATATCCCAGCAAATGACCTGTTGCAATGGGGGGCACTGTTGTGTCTCTGTTACAGCAAGTGGAGACAGATTTTATTTCCTTAGTGCCAGATATCCTGTCATTTGTTGACTTTTTCATTTGAGTTAACATTTATCTCATGTTAGTCAGTTTTTCATTAACTGATGTGACTGGTGTTACACTCATATGAAGAAAAATTACCTGCAGATTTATTGAAGTCAGAATTCTTCATCAAAGAAATTTGTTAAATCTTTTTCCATCTGTATGGTATGTTTTTAAACTAAGGCTTGATTCAGGAAGTATCAGACCAGGAAAATGTTTTATTATTAGCTGTGTATGCAAGAACAGGTACTTTGTCTTTCAAATATGTGCTTAATTATTTGTGAATAGATTGATAATGTGCCTATATGTGTGTATGTGCCAGGCACTGAAGAGGTAACTATTTTTGAAAATAAGCAAGGCATTCCTATATTCCTATATTCTGCTTGTTAAGATGTGAATGTACAGAAGTGCAGAAGCTAAATACACCTTGATTGTGTGTAACTATGAAATATTACACTAATGCATATCCAGTACATTTCTTTACAAGAATAAAGAAACAACTGAAAGCTGACAAACCAGGTTACTGTAAATGTCTCTTTAAGATTAGCTGTAGGTTCAGTTGGGGGAGCAGAAAAGTCTTTCTGAAGTTTGTTTTATGCAGTTGGCACACAATTTGTAACTTTTTAAACCCATGAATGAGACACTTATACTCCATTTTCTGTCCCTGCATTGTTATTGAAGTCTTGCAGTCTTGCTTTTCAGCTCTATACTTTTTATCTAAATGCTAATTTTGTAGCATGTCTCAGGCCTTTGGAAACGAGGAGGAAGTTGGAGCTACCTCTTCAATGTAGGTTGTTTGGACCTTATAATAGCTTCTCTGTTGTCTTTTAACAAGTTAAAAACTCTTTTGCTTTTAACCTGTGTCTGGATTAACTGTGGAAGAATTTGCTGCAACTGCTCATGAGAACTGAAGTTGGATACAATGGATCTTGACTATTTTGCTTCATATGGGAAGAAATATGCTATTCGTATACATGGACTCAGAGGAAAAAAAATCAGTGCATCTTAGTTCAATGTGTCTTGCACTGAGTTTTGTAGCTCAAAAACAGTAGCAGAGTATCAAAGTCTTCTACTGAATGATGAATTTTGAGTGCTTTGCAGTTTAGTGACAGTTCAACATAGTGGTAAGTGGTAGTGTGCAATTGCAAAGGGATTGTTGTATATACCAGAAAGGGTATTTTGTGACTCTCATAGTCCTAGAACAATACTATCTAACATGGGAAAGTGCAGAAGACACAGAACCAGAAGAATATGGAATTTTTCTGTAAAGTCAGGTTGCTATATATAGACGTTTTAGACACAGAGAAGCTCAGGGAAGAAAAAGATCAAGTGTTATCAATAACGTTAGCTCTCATCTTCTGTATCTGAGATGAGTGCAGTTGGTTAGAGCATGATAAATAATGCCAAGGCTTTTTAGGTTGGATCCCCCTATGGGCCATTCACTTAAGAGTTAAACTTGATGATCCTTGTGGGTCCCTTCCAACTCAGAATATTCTGTGATCATCTTACAGCCCAGAGTTGCCTGGCTAAGATGCCACGAAGCTGCAGAGATTCTCACTTCTTTTCTGAAGTTCACGTCCACTGGATGTCCCCAACGTTCTTGTGTCAAAATAAAGGGGATTTTACTTAGGCAGTAAGTCAGCTGTAATTATCAAGCAGATTGCAGCAGAGTTGTGTTTTAGTCAACCAAAGGATAAAAGATATGCTTGATTCCTCATGGGTTTTGATCAATGGAAGGAAAGGAGAGAGCAGAGATTATATTTATGTGTGTCAGTAATGACAGTTTTATTCTGCAGTGTTTCCAGTTATTAATTACATGAGTACGCAATGTCAGTTCATCTCTGCTTTTGCACTGCACTATCCAGCCAGCCTGCAAACTTCTTTGGGGTTTTTGTTAATTCTCTCTTCTTAGTATAGGCAGTGAAAGTAATTGAAATTTCATGTGTTTATCTACTTTAACCTTAGGTGTTGCTAATGAGAACACTAGCAAAACCTGTTTATAAGCACTTGGGTGATCATGTGGTCAGGACAGTCTTTTCTCTGTAAATAGAGATGTGTGCTGGTTGTGATGGTGGTGCAGGGTGCACGTGGCTTTGATTCTTTAGCTCTGAATTGCCCTGCCTGATGGTTTGTCACTATGGCTCGAAAGGAGAATTGGCAGTTGTAATTGAAGGTGGCATATGAAGTTTTACATGTTGTGTCAGGCAAGAGGTCACAGAGGCAGACGATGTCTTTGCTTTCAGCAACAGGAATGCTATCATAACATCTTAATTAACATCTTCCCTGTGTTTAGTATGGGTGTTTGGTGGTAGACTAGTAAATCATGAGTGGCAGTTACAAAATGAGCTGCACAGATGCAGACCTTGGACTTGCAAGCCCACCGAGGAGTCAGAGGGTACCGCAGACAAACTTCAAGGGGTTCAATCTGTCTTATTTTCTTTAGGGGTAGTGTGGAGATCGTAAGCAGGCTAGGAGTTGAACAATCAATGTGCCACTTTTTTTTCCTTTTTATAAGTACTTTGTGATTTAAGAAGCATTGAGAATCAGAGATAGATCTTTTTCATGACTACTTGTGGAGGGAAATGCTGTCCCTTCTAATGCTAGTGGTTAAAAGCTGTTACTGAGTGTTAAAGCTGGAATGGGTTGTCCTAGTGTAGTCAGGTGTCTTTCTTTTTGTCTGTGCTGCGTACAGGACTGATGTTTCTTTTTGTTCTTGCAGCTTGCTCTGTTGTGTGGGCTGCATCTTCTTTTTATTATTCTAAGGATTATAAATTACATGAGGCATGAGGGCCCTTCTGCTCAGTAAGCCACTCTGTATACCATGACTTGAGATCTGGCAGGACAGATCTCACCAACAGTTCCTGAAAGAAAACTCCTTTGTTGTCCAGGTGTTACCACAGAGTTTCTGGCTCCACTCTGCTGGTTGAGAGGTGAGTCTGTCCTGGAGAGCCATTGAAGGTGAACATATTAAATGAAACAGCTTTCACTGGGGTTAACCTCAAGGTGCTTGTTAAAGTGAGCATGCACAGTGACTATTACTGAAGCTCACTTGAGTGGCGTGAATGGGTGAACCTACAGTTTTCTGACTGTATGTGTGAAATCTGAGGGTGCCTGTTGTATGGGATTGTAGAAATAATCTAACGCTTGCTTTTCCCTAGGTCATCATGTAATCCATGTTAGTCATGCTTTTCCTGGATTTCTTTGAGTTTTGCTTTCTGAATATTCAAACAAGGTGGTTTGGGGTTTTTTTTGTGTGGTGTTTTGTTGTTGTTGGTTTTTTGTTTGTTTGTGGTTTTTTGTTTGTGTTGTTGTTGTTGTTTTCTTTTTTTGGGAGCGATGTATACACAATATCTTCTTCATAGGAAGTGTTTTAATTTGGAGCCAGACCTCTGAAATTGTGTGAGTGCACAGAAATCTATTCTGCTTGCTCTGCTCAGCCCATGCCCTGTAAAAGTTCCAGAACAAGGGTAAGGTATTGGGGATTGCTGAAGTTCCAGATTTCTCAAAAAGCAGAAAAATTATTTATTAACTAAAACTGAGATGATGATGGAAGAATGCTGCAAAGGATGGAGGAAGGGAGAAAGCCCTCCATGTTTCCCCGTAAGTAAGTAATGCAGCTGAGAGCAGCAGTGGACACTCGAGTTCTGCACCTGGTCTGGCTGGTGACCCTTTGACTCTGCCTGGAGGGAGCTCAATCAATGCAATTGGGACATATCCGAAGGAAGTATCTGTTTTTCCTTATCTTATTATCATTTTTTATTCTAGGTAGTGACACCCTGCTTTTTTCCAGGCAACTACGAGCTGGTAAGTATTTTTGGCAATACTGATATCCATCAAGTTTTATTAGGTTATAGGTTAGGTTATTGTTGCAGTCTGATTCATTCTCTTGTTATTTCAGTACTGTGCCATCACCTTTCCTCTCTGAAGGCTTGGCAAATTAAGGGTCTATTCCTGAAGCTTGTTACTGTGTCTTGTCCCATGCAAGAAAGCATAAAACCGGATGTTTTATGCTTTTATTTGTGTGTCTTAAATAAAAAAAAAAGACAGTAATTATTTGTTTCAACATACTGATGCCTCATATCAGTTTGAAAGTATAAGTAGTGTAAGATTTGGTTGGGGCCTGTTATTTTTTGTTGAAGGTGGAAGACAGGAAGTTAATCCACACTTTGTCAGGATAGGAAAATTATAAGCCTTTTCTGGCTTGCATGACTGAATTTGGTTATTCCAGCTCCAAGGGTGATGCCTGCAGGATGGGGTGTAACAGTTACTTATTGAACCAGCATTGGCACCCACTAGTGTCATTTCTAGGACTAATCAGCCAACAGCTGATGCCCAAGTGTCAGCCAAGAACTCTGTGTATTGTAGTGCAACCACTGGCAATTAGGAATCCTGCATCTCACTTCTGCCTTGCTACTTGAATTGACTAAGTCACTTTGCATATTTTAGTGTCTTAATTTCCCTGCTGGAAGAATACAGGTAGCGATACTTACTTATTATGAACCACAGAAGTCAAAAGGTGCTTATAAAAATTATTATCCTGTAAAGGAAAGCCTGGAAACCTAAATCAGTAATTTCTGGTATTATGAGGAATGTGAATGTCAACTCATTGGAGGTCTCTCCTAAATTTGACCCAGTGATTTTATTAATTAACCCACATCAGGGTCTGAGAATCTTGTATGGCATCACTGCTAAAATTATAAATAGAAAAAAACCCCTTTCTTATGTATGAAACTCACAGTATTAGGTGCATACTGGCAACTGCAGTTGCTATTTCTTTTGTGTTGTGCACACAACCCGAGTATTGATTCTGACATAGAACATTTGTCATTGTGATTCAGGAAAAATTTTAAACCTGTGGGGTATGTTACCAGTCATTATTAATTCTGATTCAATTTGGTTTATGTGAACTGTTTATATGGGGCAATGCTGGTAATCTGGGCCCAAGTGTGACCTGCTGACAGGTGAAGAGCTTAGATGGCAAAAGCAGCCTAACCGGTTCTAGTTTACTGGCAGGGATGTAGACAGAGGTATATTCAGTCCCCAAATAAACATTTACTAGTTTTAGGCAGAAGAAGGAGTAGAATTCTATTTAAATTTCTTGCAGGGAAATCTGTAGGTGAAATATTTTGCTACATAGTTTGCAATGTTTTCTTGTTATTGAGAGTGAGATTGAACAGTGTGTTTTGCTTTTGAGGTGAAATGTGGTGACATTTTTAGATTAGGAATCTTTGTTGTGCACAAGTAAATTTTATCTGTTTAGTGAAGAGTTCTGTTGGTCTGAAGGAGCATGATCTGTGATGGCATTAGCTGTAAGTTGTTTCTTTTACAGCTTTCGAGTTTAAAATCTTGAGAAGATCAAGAATAAGTACTTGAGATTTTTAGATAATAGAGAGGGCAACATCTATTCAAATTAACCAAAACTTTGTGGCATTACAATTTGCTGCAGAACCATGGATTTATCACCATTTATTCCAGCAAGGAATTCCAACCTTTTAGCTTTCACATGAATAAACAATTTCGTATGCCTGCTTTAAATCAGTGTTGCATATATTTAGCCAGTGTAAAGGTTTCCTGTATTACTCTCCTTAAGGTGGCTTATAGCAATAACTGTAGTTAAACTCTCCATGACATGTTTGTTGGAAGACTGTTGAAGCCTGATGAAATTCACAGATGTTCTTTTTCTTCAGAATATGGGGTTTATTGATTATTTTCAGCTTGGATGCCAGTTTCCAAAGAGGCCCTTTCTTCCCATTTCTCATGAGGCATTTATCTTGAAGCTTTGTAATGGCATCAAGAGCCTCATATATCAACTCAATGCAGCTGTTAGGAGTTCAGGTGCTAGAATATAAACAGCTGCTGTTAAGTGTTCTAATATTACTTTATATTGTCATGCACATTCCTTAGATTGGAGAAAGGGAGATAATGCTAGTCCAGCTCTGTTAATTCAAGCCAAACGTTTAGCAAAGATGACCTATTCTGCTGCACTTATATTTCATGAAGAGGCAGTGGGCTATTTGTAAAAATGGTCTTTCATTGCAGAGATGTATAGCTTGACCCAAAGATTTTAAAAAAGAAAAAAAAAAAAGGGAAAGAAAAGTGCCATGGTCACTGCCTTTTTTTTTTTTTTTTTTTTTTTTTTAAACCTGAGAGTGACTTAGCCTACATAATGCTTCTAAAATATGATAAAAATCAGAGATGGTAAGTTTGTTTAAAAAACCTTTCTTGGAATTATTGGATCTTATTTTGCAAGATTACTAGTTACTCAGTAGATAGTATTTTTTTAAAATCAATATTTTAAATTAAAAAAAATTGGTACCAAAATGAGAAGGTTTAGGCCCTAACCTTAAAACTCCAAATAGTTTTTGTTTAATCTATTACTTAAAGATAAAAATTAAAGGAAAGCTAATGGAAGGATATTATTTTTTAGGTAATTTTTAGATTCTGGGAAATATTCTAGGATAGTTTAAGATGCTTCAAGATCAGTAAGTTTGTCTTCTTCACTGAATTTTTTTTCCATCCTTCATAATAGTGTGTCTTTGAAAAGAATAAAGGAAACTAAATCTTAATTCTTCAGAGGCCCATCACCTATCCTGACAAATGTCTTGCAGTAATGAAATGTGGTGTGAAGGCCCAAACCTCTTATGTACGTGGATTCTTATTCTAAAATAACTTCATTGATGAATGGTCCTTATCACTGGATGACTTATCAGTTTTAAGACATGATTAAATAGTGATCTTGAACAGAGAAATTTCTGATTTAATCTTTATAACCTTTCTTCCTTTCCCACCTCTTTTTTTTTTCTCTTCACCCCGCCCCCCCCAAATGATTACTAGGAAATTCTGCATACTTCTAGATTCCCATTTAAACATCACTTTTCATAACCAACTCTTCTGATGTGGAAAGAGTAAGTGGACACTTACTTGCAACATATATTTTATTATAACAGTCACTTCAAACTGAAGTTTGTTCAGCTGTTTTGCTAAGTCTTCAGTGGAAGTTTGATCATTTTGACAAAATTGGGGAAGAGTGTCAGTAATTATGCCTTCCTCCTCTCCCCCTTAATTGTTCAAGCCTCTTTTCTGTCTCTGAGGAGAAAAATTAAAGACTTGAACATTCATACCCCTCATAACTAACTAAACATTTGATTTTGAACAGTGAGTCAAAATGTGCTCTAACCTGTTTCAAAATAAGAGGAGAACAGAATAAAAGTAATTGTGGGAGAAATAGGTTTGGGGTTTTTTGTGTGTGTATGTGTCCTTTTTTAAAAGGAGCAGGAGAATACCTTGAAAAAAATTCTGAAGAATTGAGTGGTGAAGTCACAAAGGCCTCATTCTACTTGCATACCTCATTTTTTACTTGAAATCTATGGCAATTAACATATTGATATGGTTTGAAGCTGGCTCCCTGCCAAGTCTCCAAACCTTACCACCAGAAGTCCCCCCCCCCCAAACAAAAAAAAAAAACCTCAGGGAGAAGAGGGAGAAAAAACTAAGAAAGACCCAAAAACGAGAGAGAAACAACCAAAGTGATATATATAAATATATTTACACTTATATACAATTTCACAAGGGAAAGGGGAAGGAGAAAAGGAACAAACCTAAAATAAAAAATATATATATATATATATATATCCCAATCAGTAGCCCGAGATCTAGTAACTAAAGAACAAAAGAGTTAGCAAAGAAGATATCTCACTACTCTCCTGGGACAACCGAGAGTCGCTCCGGAACGATCGCCTGCAACCTCTGTCTCCCAAGGTTGGCAAGGCCTAACCAGGCCTCGCTCCCCAACACGGCAGACTAAACAGCAGGGAACCTGCACCTCCAAGCCGCCGGAAGGAAAGAGAGCGAAGGCCTCTCCTCCTCTCTTCTTATAGTCTGGCTTACGTAAAAATCGTAGGGAATACTGGGTAAATCTGGACCCTTCCTTGGTTACAAACTGGTCACCAAGGAAGGCCTAGCCCAAACCACCACACATATACTTACATGTATTCAACCTAGTGCCAGCATTTTCTCAAAAAAAACCCCTAAAAGCTGAAAATACATGTTGATAGAAAATAAAACCAACCCCCCAACTATATATGGGGAAAGTGAGCAAGACAACAGAAAACGTTAAAAAAAACTCAGTACGCTAACAGTGTTTGAAAGAATGTTTGTCCCCTATGGCAAAAAAATCCCCTCCCTCTTTTTCATGTTGTCTGTTGAATGCAATCCTCCCCAGATGCTTTGTATGAAAAAGATCAGTAAATATGACAGCTTGAATTTTTATGCTTACTGCATTCATTTTTAAACACATCTTTTCAGAAGAACAATGTGAGACAATCTGATGTTCCCATGGAACTCTACCCATCTGTTTTTAATGTGAACCTGCAAGAGATTTTTTGAGAAATATGAGGCTAAATAACTGTGCTGTTGGGAAGGCCTGTGCATGTAGATGAAGGATTGCATTCTCCAATTTCATTTTAAGTGGGACCTCGGTATTAGAAGACATAAGATGTTAACTTGGGTCAATCAGCATGACCTCTGAATACCCTGGAGTATGATGACTGTGGGTAAATAGTTAGAAACTGACATATGCAATGATTTTGCTCTGCTGGCTGTAATTTTGGTTTCCAGCTTAAATGAGTGAAAGCTTTTCTGGAAAACGTGTCAGGTGGGTTTGATTTGTAATAAAAATGTGACTAATGGCTAATTAGTTTCTAGATTTTCCCATCTTTCTTCTTTCAAGCAATAGCACGGAAATCTTACAAAAAACTAGGAAAATGCCCAGGTCTGTTTTTTAGAGGGACTTTTCTATTTGCTACATTCAGATGTTTGCTTACAGGACCTGTGAGGTGCATACGAAACAAGCATTATATGCACACAGCAAGCATGAGTTGGTGAAGGATACACTAAGTCTTCAGGCCTCCCCAGTTGCTGTGACCTTTCCTGGCTCCTTTCATGACTCTCACCAGAGCAGTTCTGCCAGGGAGTGCTGCAGGTTGTAGCTTGCTCTGTCTTGCTATTCAGTTTTGCTTTATTAAATTTTGACCTGTGTTTTTTTCTTCCTTTCCTTTTTTTTTTTGCAGCTTCATAAAAAGAAATAAATCTACTTTTCTTGATTTCTTAGCGTTATAGATAGACAGAAGCACAGACTGATGAGACACCTTCTTGACAAAACCTGTGAGCTGATGCCCGATTTGAATATGAATATTTTTCAAACTTTTTTTGGATTTGCCTCTCTGTAATGCAATTTGTTGGAGTTTGTTTTTTGGTTTTACGTTTCAAGTGCTTACCAGAGTAAGACCATGGACCTCAGAAATCTGCAGAGCAGAGGTTCAAAAATGCTATTTTAAGTGCAATCAGTGCCTTGTTCATAAATGTGTCTGATTTAGCCATAAGAGGGAACAGAGAATAAAACTACCTGAGTATGGAAACACCACTCCCCTAAATGAATGAAATGTAGTGATCCTGAATTGAGCAGTGCAATGTATACTAAATTCAAAAGCTATAGTTTACTAGGAGGGAGGGCTCATGTTGTTTCTAGGAATACTAGAGAATTACAAGATTTAATAGGTCTTCAAATATGAAGTTTTGTTATAATGCAGTGTGTTCAGTCCCGGGTGTTCATCCAAAATGAAATGAACAGCAGGCTTTCTTTGAAGAAAAACAAACTACAGAAGTAGGGGATCAGCAAGAGGGAGAGGTTTGGCAATTTCCAGAGCCACGTTTACCTGCTTGTTTATTTTCTCCAAACCTTTCCACTGAGTGAGGGAGGTACTTTTGCAAGGCAGAAGTGTCTGCTTTTCTGAAGTGTGGCACTATTTACTATAGCAGATAAATGCAGAAGCATAATGTTCTTCCAAGGTAAAGCATGCTTCTTGCTGCCTTCCTAGCTTTCTTTTTCTAAAGCAAAATTATCAGTGTTTCGGACTCTTCAGTATCATTAGTTTTCAATTGGCACAGAAACTTTTCATATATGTTTGACTGCTCTAAATAGCAAATGGACTTGCGTAGATTCTGCTTGACAGCTCACACTGGAAAAGGGAAATACACACTCCAACGTGTGGGTTTTTTCCTGCTTATCTGCATAATTTTCTATTCCTTCATACCTTATCCTAAGAATGACAGATCTTATGTCCCCTGTGAATATGCTTTTAGTTAGTCTTTGAAACGCTTTCTCAGCAGCAGAATGTGTAAGAGGAAAGGACAGCACTAATCCCACCACTATAAAATGAATGCCAGCCAAACATTAAAATTGATAAATGACTGTAGCATTAGTTATTAGTGTCATGGAGAACTGCCACCTGTCTTTCAAAAGGAAAAGAAAAATCTTTTAATGTTAATTTAAAAATCAGCTTTTCTTGTAGTCAGCATTCATTTTGATAAACGCAATGAATCATGTATCCATGTGGACCCCTCTCTTCAGACAGAACTGTGATTCCTTAGATTAAATTCTTATTTTGGTGTGACTGTTATATAATGGTGGATTCTATTTGCTCGTTGCTTAACTAAACTTCAATCTCTAGCATCCAATTCAAGTTTAGTTCACTGTCATGTCAGAAATCATGCTGGTTTAATTTGCTTTAGGTTTTTCACATTGGCTCAAAAATTTAGTACTTGCATATAAGTAACAAAGTGTGTGTGGCAGAAGTGTTATGTATGAACTTGCTTTTGATTATTCTCATTTGATGTCATTAAATGCTGGAGTCAAAGCTCAAGCCTGTTTCTTGGAGAAATGTCACAGCACCTTGTAGATGTGGAGGGAAAGGGGGAGCTAATTGGGTTTTGGTTGTCTTTAAAGTGGAATCCAAATGAGAAGCTTTCAGGGTAAGATAGCCCTACTGACTAGCAAAACAATTAACAAAGGTGAAGAAACTGTCCTCAACGAGGCAAGGGGGTTAGAGCATCTCATGTGGCATTCATTTAAGGACTGATGTATGTTCCTTTTTTGTAATTAGTAAAAGAAATATAACTTTATTTTGAAGTAGCAGTGTCATTTTCTGTTTTGCTTTAATGGCTTTTCTTTCAGAAAGGCTGTTTTTAGGGAGCTATTGGCAGGAATCTGTGATGGTTTTCTTCTATGATGATAGGAGAGGGAGGTGGGATAATTTGTTTTGGAATGATTTTTCCTCGTTCCATAGAAAAGAATTTTTTTTTTCTAACCATGTCAGTCAAATTTCCTCTGAACTGTCTTTACTGGAGAGTGAGGACAAGAATGTTTTGTTGTGTTTGATTTTGAAATGCTATGATTGGTGACATGCGCAAGTGGAACCATAGAATCACAGAATGGTTTGAGTTGGAAGAGACATTGAAGATCTTCTAGTCCCAACTCCCCTGCCTAGACAGGGACACCTTCCACTAGACCAGGTTGCTCAGAGCCCCATCCAGCCTGGCCTTGAACCCTTCCAGGTATGGGGCATCGATAGCTTCTCTGGGCAACCTGTCCAGTTCCTCACTCCCCTTACAGTAAAGAATTTCTTCCTAATATCCAAGCTAAATCTACCCTCTTTCAGTTTAAAGTCATTCCCCCTTGTCCTATCACCGCATACTCTTGTCAGAAGTCCCTCTCCAGATTTCCTGTAGGCCACCTTTAGTTACTGGAAGGCTGCTATAAGGTCTCCCTGGAGCCTTCTCTTTTTCAGACTGAACCCTAACTCTCTCAGCCTCTTTTCATAGGAGAGGTGCCCCAGCCCCCTGATCATCTTCATAGCCATTCTCTGGAGTTGCTTCAGCAGGTCTACGTCTTTCTTGTGTTGGGGCCCGCAGAGCTGGATGCAGTACTTCAGGTAGGGTCTCACCAGAGCAGAGGGACAGAATCACCTGCCTTGACCTGCTGGCCACACTTCTTTGGATGCATCTCACAATATGGTTGGCTTTCTGGGGTGCAAGTGCACATTGTTGAGATATGTCGAGCTTCTTGTACATCAACACCCCCAAGTCTTTCTCCCCAGGGCTGCTCTTGATCCATTTTCTGCCCAGCCTGTAGTTGTGCTTGGGATTGCCCCAACCCAGGTGCATGAACTTGGATTTGACCTTGTTGAACTTTGAGTTTTGAAATGTCCCACCTCTCAAGCCTGTCAAGGTCCCTCTGGATGGCATCCCTTCCCTCCACTGTGTCCATCACACCACACAGCTTGGTGTCATCAACAAAATTGCTGAGGCTGCACTTAATCCCACTGAAGTCAAGTGCAGTCTTGCCTAACCTACAGCACTTAGTTCTAGTGTTGCTTCATTTTCTCATTTTGAGTGTTTTTCAAGATGAAATACTTCTGTTATTCTTTCATTCTAAGTCCAAATTATAAAATCCTTAATCTAGGATATCTTCTCTTGTGCAATGCTGAATCTTGGCTTTGTTGAAGTCTTAGGCAAACATTTTTGCTTTTTCTGTTTTACATAGTTTTACCACTGTACTTCCCCATTATATTGCCTTGATTTCATGCTGATTGTAGTCATCAATAAAAAAGAATGTACTTTTGGAATGCTGTGCTTCTGGTGATTCGTGTTACATTTTTGTAGTAATGGCTTGGCTCATTTCTTTTAAAAGTTTGCTTTAAATCTCTGTTGATATAATTTAGCATGTTTTAAAGCCAGCCTTGAACAGATTTTTTTTGCACAGCACTTACAGAAAATTCTTGGCACTTCACGTCATTAATACCTATGCAAGTGTCTGTTTTCATGAAAAAAACATAAAATGAGAGATTGGGAAAAGAGGCAGAAGGGCACATGTGGTTAACAGTGTACATCTCCATGTATATTGTAACTTGGAATAGGCACTCCCAGTACCTGAGCACTGTCTTACAAGACCTGAATATGCAGAATGATAATGCAAAATCAATTAGTTTTTCCACATCTGTTTGAAAGATAATTTGTTTGTTAGTACTGTAAGATGAATATTGAATGATTTTGTTGTTGTTGTGTGTATATGTTAGGAGGGGATTTCTTAGAATATAGTTAAACTATCTGGAAAACTAAAGTCAGTTTTGTTAACTTTTCTCCTTTTGCAGGCTAACTCTGAGGTGGTTAAAAATCATGTAACCAGAAGCGTAAGTAATTTCATTTATTCCTTTTTCTTTTACTTGGCCTGATTTATTTTCCTGTTTGTGTCTGCTTATTTTTACCACAACTTCACAAAGCATCCATTGCTAACCATTTTCAAAGTACACATTTTGGTTTCTATACTGTGTGAAATTAGCCTCTGATTAGCATTAGTGGTTTTTTTCAGCCTTGAGTTTATCCAGGAACAATGAAATGACCTCTGCATTTCTTATTTTTAAATTAAGCAGGGAAGAAAGTAAAGAGAAATATTGAAGTATTCATAGACTGAATTGTATTCAGAAGAGTACAGAAAGTCAAGAGATTTTTTTTTTTCCAGCAAGAATGATACTAGTTTTTGTCTTGTGGTCAATATGCAATTGATCTTTTAGCTTTTATTTGTTCCAGTTACTATGCCATGTTTTTTACAAAACAAATTAAATGCCCCTTCCCAACCCTTTATTACCATGGCTGTAGTACTACCGGTACAAGTAGTATTAAATATATTTATTGAAGTGCAATAGAACCCAGCAGTCCAACTGATGTAGAAATTTCTGCAAATGGGACGTGTAGCTGATTTTGATACTGATAGCCCTTAAAAATATACTTTTAGCACGATTTCTGTGAAGTAAGACAAAGAAGACAACTTTTTGAAGTCCTTTAGAGTTATCTTTTAACAGAGATGTCAAGTTTTGTAGATTTCTAAATAAATAATGGGAGATGCCTATAGTTAACTATCTGTTAGTAGGCAACTGTGATGCAGGTATTTGATTCACTACTGTAAAAATGAGGTTAAAATTTAAAAAGGGGCAGAGGAAAGGACTTGCAAGATGTACATGGTCTTCACTGATTCATTGTTCAATTCCAGCACAGTTCTCTATTAAAATAAATGAGCATGTGTTGCACAGTGCTAATCTTGTGTGCATTGCATTTTTTTTGTAATGCTGCTGGTGCCACTCTGTGCAGTGTGTAAAGAGTTCTGGTCCTTGGCTACCCATGTAGACAGGAGACATTCAGAGGTTACATTTGTATTAGCAGTATTGTTTGTTTACTTGGCCTGGCAATAAATGTTTTTCTACAACCAAGGGTATTTCTGTGGTTGGATCCATGCTATCAACCACACTGTTCTAGTAAAATTAGAGTTATTTCTAGTTGCTAGAATATATTTGATAATGGAGCCAGCTATAAATGACTAGTGACGTGATTGTTTCACCTTTCAGTTCACTGTTCACTTTCTTACCTAGACAAATTAACTAAAACTAAAAAATCAGAGAAGAGCTAAGTTCTTAGTTATCTGTATGTGAATAACTGGTTTTGAGAGCTGCTTCTAGTGCAACAAACATGAAGCAAAATAATGAGATATGTTGTGAGGAAAATAATTGCAGATCGTTTTCTGTCACTAGTTGGAAGTTTTTAGCATCATTGTGCTACATTTGACTACTTTAGAGGGTTTTCTGTTTGTACTGGTTGCTTATTGCACAAGCCAAGATCATATGTTTTTTGGGTTTTTTTCTGTACATGTAATACCTGGTGCACAGCCATTTTGAAGGCAGCCTTAAATGTTCTTCACCTGTGCCTTTTGTCTTATTGCATTTTTATTTGACTTATTGATTATTATTTGACCATTAGCAAGTTTCCTGAAATTGTTGGTAGTTACTTTCTATGGACAAGTATACTCCAGGAGCAAAGGATGACTTGGTTCTGACACTACCTAGAATTCAAAATTTTGTTAGCTTAATTCCAGTGTTTGGGCTAGCTCTGAGGGATGGATAGCACATTCTTACTCAGGAAATAAGAAGTGCATTTTCTTATATTTAGAGGGCTTCCTCATGCCCTTATGGACTGGAATATTATTTTATTCTTAATATTAACAAATTTAAAACAAATAAATTAAGCTTCTTGTTTCAACTAAAGGCTGGCAGAAGCGTTTGTCACTTTCTATCCAAGGATTGTGTGCACATAATTTTCTGTTAGTTAACAGGGTGCAAAATTTGTAATGAAAGTTTACTTCAGTTTTCGTCTCTTACATCTTAACTAGGTCAGAGAGAAACGCGGGAGATTTACTCTGAAGTCTTTCCCTCTGCCACCACATTTTTTTCATTCCACTGTGCACCATTTACAGAGTTAGGAAGTAGAGTGCACACATACAGGAGCTTTGTATTAGGTGCTACTGGGTCATGCCATACATTACTTCTACAGAGCCTCACCATGTGGTATGTGTGAATTAATGCAGAAACTTTTACACTCTGCTGTATCTGTTGTGCTTAAATACATTGCCTGTGGATGGTATTCCTTCAGGAAGCTCTTTCAAAGCTCTAGTATACTTGTGAAACTATGCTACAACCAGAATTAGAGCACATGTATTATTTTAGTCAGTTGAAGTACACTCCCTGCCTAACACTTAAATATGAATATAGGAAGTTTCTCCATAGATTTGTGGTGGGATACAGTGTTGACACGACTCTAACTCACCTGGGTAGGTGTGCTCCTGTTCTATGTGTGCAAGAGACAATAGCACTGGTTAGGGGTAGGTGCTAGCCTCACAAAGCTTTGTGTAAACTCTTTGTCTTGAGACATTGTAGAGCTAAGGCTTCAAAAATACAGTTTTCCAAATGTATGTATACCTGTGAAATTTTACATTAATTAAAACACTAATTATGCCTCATTCTCACTTGAATAATAACTTTATATGTATTCAGTATTTTCTTTTAAAGAGTCCTTAGTAGCAAAAATGTGCTGCATACCTTCTCTCTGTTATGAATTAAATATTTTAAGAAAAGAGCAAAGGATGAATAGACAACCCAGCTGTACCAGGAGATTTCAGGCTGTGAGCAGGGCTGCTTTCGTCAATAAAAGTGAGTTGGAAGATGATCTTTCTGTCCTGATTGGTTCCTTGTTTCCCTGCCAGATCGCTAGATAGAACTCCATATCCAAGTGCCCCACAAACTTGATAAAAATGAGGTGGCTTGCAAAGCCCTACAGTGAGCTTGTTTAGAGGAGCCTGGCCTGTTTTGGCTGAAGTGTCATAGGAAAGAATCATGGGAGGAACTTTGCCATCAGGGTAGGTTTTGGCAGAGAGAAAGCAAGCTGGGATTTATAACTTCTGCAGACACTGCGAGGGGCACATCTGTTTGGAGTCTTGCTGTTATACTACACAGGGGAACAGATCGTGATTTTTATGGAACACAGCATACAGAACAGAACTAAAATCTGCTGTCAAACAAATAGCCGTCTGCAGTAGAAATGATAAATCTCTTCTACAGAGAGAACTTAAAAAATATTTTTAATTAACTTTCAATATTTACTAAGCAATGCATACACAATAGCATAGAGACATTTGTATTTGCAAGGCATGAATCTTTTCTGCAATAGGAATCATTCTAAAGCCAGAGACCAAATTCAGGTTCTGGTATGCAAATTCTGGTTCTCATCCAAAATATCACATTCACTATGTCAGTAGGAATTATCATGGTGGAGTAGTTCAACTATCAGTGTAGTTCAGTGTCCTGTCTTTTTCTGCAGTATCCTGGAGTGTGTAGAACTGTTACACTGTGCCTTAGAATAGGTTGCAGAATTTCTTCTGATCCCTGTCCATGGCTTGGGGAATGAAAATGCATTACAAATTTGGTTCAAATATATTCAGGTCTTCTGCTGATCAGTCTCTCTATTCTTATTCTTATTTATGGTGTTTGAATGGTGAGCAATCATGTGGAAAAGAGTTTCAGAAGCTAATTTAAAAGCTGTGTAAAATGCATGTAATTTTATGGCAGATTAGCTAATCAAATTTTCTGATGCTTATAGCAACATGAAAAATAGGCACAAATAAAATACATCCCAAATAGATCCATGTCATTCTTTCAAAATATGTCCTGATACCTTTAAGCCACAGATTAATTACTGATTTACATTTCAGATAGTTGTAGTTTCTACTCATTGGTCCTTATACCTGTTAATACTCTCACTCAAGAAGGACCCCAGGAGAGAAACAGATGAGCTGCATGAATGCATATCAGATCCTGGAGCCCTGAGTTTTCAGCAGTGCTGTTTCTTGGAGGAACATATATTTAGTTCATGTACCACTGTCTCAACTGTTTAAAACAACCCAGTCCTTGAAATCAGTATTTCTTATATTCTGCTGAGATAGCTTTTAATCAGATATTATTATAGTTCAATGCCAGGAACAGGGCCTTGGGAAAGGTAACTGAATGATTTTTCATTTGGCTTCCTTAGCCTGTCTTTGATTCTGGTCTCAAAAGGGGCAAGTCATTATCCCACCTGGTATTTTTAAGTTCACGCATGGCCCATGTGTCTAGTTTTACTTTGGTATTGGAAACTAGTAGTTTACATACTAGGGGTTTTTTTAATTTATTTTGGTAGAGCTGTTATATAAAACATAGTAACTCGGTGTACTGCCAAAATGCAAATTAATTTATCTAGGGCAAAACTATCTCCCTTTATCCTTTGTCCTTTCTGGTGTCTGGCACTCTGCGACAGAGGACTTTAGCCTGTGAAGTGTGTAAGCCTACTGATTGTAATGCAGATTTCCGTATTCAGTTCTTGGAAAAGTTGTGGATGATCATCTTGCTGATATACGTGATTTTTTTTTTACAGATATGATTTTTTGTTTTAGGCATTATTTTTAACTTGATTGTCTCCATTTTTTTCCTTGAGAGTCAGCCTTTCATCACAGAAGATATAGCAGGAAGGTTATTTCTTATTCCTTCTGTTTCTGGACTTTTATGGAGAAGTTGTCTCAATACCACCTCTGTGCCACACAGTGTGAGATGGCCTGTACTATACCTTTTGTCATGTTTTTGCTCTGAAGCTGTGGAGCGACTCAAAGTAGGATTGTAAAATTATGAGATGCTGCATGCTGCAGTGGACAAACACAGGCTTGCTATTTGAGGCAGGCCAGGTAATCCACAAACAAGTTCACCATCTTTGGTGTCAGAAGAAGGTGAATTAACAGGGCTGATCTCAAAAGTCTGTTTTGTTCAAGCTGTACTTTAGTTTAATTGGGCTCTTTGGCCCACTTTCTACACTTCCGTTGACAGCAGACTGTGCTGAGTAATTTATGTCTAGTGAATGTTGTGACCTGGTGAAAATTATATAGAATTAAGTATGGGACTGTTTCTTAGGTTCTTTATTATGCACAGGCTGTAGTGGACTCTGGGATGCTTTTGTCTGAGGACTGAATTTTTGAGAAAGTTGGGATAAGTGGGCTCTGTGATGAGCCTAGGACTGACAGGAGCCAACAGTGGTGAAAGAAATAAGGATGATATCAAAGGAAAGAGTTGCATGGCTTGAGTTTTTACTGGAAAAGGGCAATGACGTAATGCGTTGGATGCAATGAATTTGCTTGTTAATGCAGTTCTGTGACTGGTGAGAAGATGGTTGTCTTTTAATAAGCAATTGCTTCCCCCTGCTGTCTTCCATACAACTGCAGCTTAATTTTACCAAAAGGCTCCTCGCGCTTTTTTACATAAGAATAACTTCTATATGTTATTGTTTGGGATTGATCTGTTTGTTTGGAATACAAAAATTCCTTAAAACTGAATGAGTAGGTGAATAGAAGGTGTTTTCTGTTTTGAAAACTCTGTTTCTCATGTGACTGGTTATACTGTCTGCATTGCCAGGCAGTCCCAGGGAAGCAGGGGAACAAGAATCATGGGGAAAAGCTCACAGAAGATTAATCTCAGGTCTGTCTTACTGGCAACATATCAAGCACTAGTTTCACTGAATCTGGCCTGGTTACAACTCTAAATTTTTAGCCAGATGTGTTTAAACACCCATTTTGAACCACTGTTTTTAATTCCCCTTCATCTTCTCTACTGTTGTTGGTTGTCAGGAAATGAAAATCATACCTAGTTTTGCGAGATTTTTCCAGGTAATTGTCCATCCTGTGAGATAGCAGATAGCATTTGCTCTCTGGGAAGATTAGCACTTCTTATCAGTGAAATGACCCTGAAACTGCACAGAAATGTTAGGAAAAAGCCCAGAGAGGCAGTCACAAAAGTTTGAAATAGGTTTAATAGTCAGTCAAAACCAGAATTCAGTCAGAAGCATGGTAAGGTATGGCTTACATTTTCAGCTTGCCTGCTGTGAGAAATGTTGGAACACTTATTCGTATTAAGAGCATGTTGTAGGGGTGTGTATATATGTTATATGCTTCACCAAATCTTTAAAAAGCTTTTTCAGTAAACGTTTTGCCTCTGTAGTAACTCATATCTTTGTTGGATTTTGCTAAATATTGTAGCTGTGAGGGGAAAAGTTAGTGGTGTAGTCATTGAGAGTTAGTAAAAAATAAAAATGAAGAAAAAAAGAATGCATTGCTAGCTACAAGATAATTAAGCCATGGAAAAGAAGAGGAAGGGAATATAATCTAGAGGGCATGCAGAAAAATGGTTGTGTGTCCTTGACTGCTTGTCCATTTGCCAGTAAGTCATTGGCTGTAACCAACATATAACATACAAGGTGACCTTATGCAAGTTTAAGTGAAATTTGTTTAGTAAGTTTTGTGCACCGTAGATAGACAATGGAAAGTTTGATGGTCTGAATCAAAGTATCTTTTAAAAATGGTATAGTTCTGTTGATTTTGGGAGCTGTACAGAATCTGTATAAAAGTATACCCATAATGACAGACAGAAGAGTATTGCAGCTATTTGAGACCATACAATGCAACGTGATACAGAGATGAGATATCGAAAGAAGAATTCTTTTAAATTACCAGTGTTGTTCGAAGTTTCCTTTGAGTATCCATAACTCTGTCTAAAACACTAAGCTGATTGCTTATACATATAAAAATATAAATCTGTCAGTTAAAATTTTAAGTTGTACCAGTTATTTAATTGTGGAAGTTGTCAGGACTACCCATTTTTGTACACAGAGCAGGAAAGAGTATATAGTACTGTGTATTTCAGTAGGTGACATGGCATGCTTACAGTAAATATATATCTCACTAACAGGTTTTTTTGATGGTTTGTTAGTGGTTTGAATTATGTTGTTGTTCATATGCTTATATGCTGCACGCTACTGGGTTATATGCTAGTTTATGTGGCACAACAGTGTGCAATAGAGAATGATTTTATCACTTATTTTCTTACCAGAGGAAGCTGTTAAATGATTGATTTTTCAGGTTACATGGAGGCTTAGTCATATAATTTTTAATAAATGGTGGAAGTACTTTTTAAGCAGTGGATACATCTGTGTAACCAACAGAGGCCAAGGAAGTGGAGGGAGACTCATGATGCTAATTGCTTTTTAGTTACAAAACCAAAACAAAATATGCCAAAACCTTGAATTTATGTCTTGTATTTCAAGTATAGTTATTTACTCGTTTTGGCACCCCAAGTGTATTACCTACTGCCTTTAAAATTCTAAGAAAGGATTGTGTAAAAAGAGACTGGAAATACCATGAAGTTCCCTCATTTTCTGTTAAGTAAAGACAGGAAGTAGTGAAACTGGGACTTATGTGAGGTGCACCTTATGACGCCAGTTGTGCTTTAAAATTTGCCAGAACAGTTCTCTTTCAGAAATTCTGAAAGAAAATGTGCCACTTTCATGATTGTATGTCTTAGCTATTGCCAGATTTTGATATACAGCATCACTTTATGTAAGGTTCTAAGGCCTCTTCCGTTCAAACACAGTTTATTTGGTTTGGGAATACTTGCCAAGTGTGTGCCAAAATAAATAGGGTTTATCAGCCTTCCAGCTCTTACCCTAATCTAAATAAGCTTTTGTGTGCATGTTTCTGTATATTCAGGGGAGGGAGAGGAGTGAATACTCTTTCACCTATGGAGTTACTGATGCATGATATTAAATCGAACTTCTTCTTTTCTGTCTTAAAACATATTATACATATCTAAAGGCTAAAATAAAATATATACTATATGTAAATTAATATATATGCAAAGCTAAAATATATATGTAGACATAGCTAAATGTAGAGTGAATTATTTTTATTTATTTTTATTTATTGTTAGTATAGTAGTAGTTGTCTTTGTTTTTCCTTTTACTGAGGTTCACGAGGGAGAATATTTTTATACTTTTTCATGAATAGTTGCTATTATTGAACAAATGGAATTACAAGAATAAACTACTACACAGTAAATTCTAAGGAATGTATTGAGTATATATTTCAATATCGTCATAAGGAAATCAGTTGAGAGGAACTTACTTTTGCAGGTTTATAAAAAAATTCAAATTTCATCTTCTCAAAGACCACTATGTTTTCTCTAATCTTAATGCAGTTACCAAGAACAGCACAAAAGACAGCACAAAAGACTTCTCTGGCAGTAGTGAGTTGGAAGAGGTGATAGAGAGTTAGACATAACTTGGCCATAACCACAGTGTTTGCCTTCAAAACACAGAGCAATGATTCTCTCATATCCTGTTGTTATAGTTTTCCACATAAAAAATGAGGAAAAAAGCCAGAAACATTGACATCAGTGACAGTAAGTAAGCTTCTGGATTGACTGTTCTGCTTTCTTTGTTGCAGAATTGCAGCAGCGCTTTGAAGAATTCTGCTTCCAGTTGTGACAGAGAATCACGGCAAGTATTTCTTTTGTATTTTATGTAGCAGTGTCACGTCTTGCCTTGGTGGGTGTAGATTTTGTTATTTGAGGTTGTGATTTCTATGAGTTCAGTCTTCTGCAAGACATGACCTGCTATGCAAGTACCATTTTACAATCTCTGTCTGAGAAAACAACTGGGCATATTTGCTGAGCTTACTTTTAATTTAATGACTAGAATCTTTTGATTATTCTATTAAGACGGAGAAGGTGAGGTTGTGCCCTTAACCTGGAAAAGAAGGAAAAGTTAAAGTAAACAGTATCCGTACACTAGCCTGTGAAATTAATTGGATTACATTCATGTCTTGCAATCTGGGGACTGGTTTTAGATTCACGTCAGTGTTACTCAGAGCAGATTTCAAGATCTGCAATGTTTTACAGATCATTGGTGAATCTACCAACTTGTAAAGCATTTGCAGAATTCTACGGAGATGTGTGCAGACATAAGTATCTATAAGTTTCCTATTTAACTCCCAAATTTGTTGTGCTAGTATTTGCCAAAAGTGCTTGTATTCATTTTAATGCTTTTCCACATTACTGGTTGCAGAGATTTTTTCACTGTGGTTTTGATGTGAAGAACTCTGATTTTTGGCTAACTGAGTTTGTGTCCTGAACTGAATAATTTGAGCTCTGTAGGCATTTAATGAGTTGTAATTGTAATGAAATTATTGGAAATATCTGAGGCTTGTCTGTAGGAGTTCAAGTTGCGGTTTCTTTTCATTAATGTGCTATGTTTGTTCTTGGCTGCTTTGTTGTGAACTGTCACATCTAATTTCTTCACAGAAGTGCAGACTTTGATCACATTATGGAAGAAGGCTATGAACTTGACCTCACTTACATCACAGAGCGGATTATTGCTGTATCTTTCCCTGCTAGCTGTTCTGAGGAAACTTACCTCCACAATCTACAAGATGTAACCCGAATGCTCAAATCCAAACATGGCAGTAATTACTTGGTATGTGTAAGATGAGTGTTTTGTGATACATCTTCTTTTGTCTACACAGGAAGGCTACTGGTAGGTCCACATATACCATTATGAACTAGAAGTTATTATTTGGTCCATCTTTACAGCCTTGCAAGCAAGTGCAAGATTTTCAGTAGTGTTTTAAGCTGCTAGGCAAGAACAGATATTGAAAGCACTCTTTTGCTGGGGCACTGCAGTCTCTTTGTAATAACACATAGTCAAATGCTGTAGAATGATTGCACTGACCATTTTCATTGTCCAAAGTATGCTTTTAAAAAATACACAAGCTGCAATGTGGAGTGTGTTCTTTTTTCCTAACAGCCAGCTATCTCTGGTTCCTCAGGTGGGCATCTGATAGTCTCTCACCATTATGTGTTCACTATCTGTCTCTACCGTATACTGTGAAAGAACATGTAAAAGTAGGGTTGCTGTTGGTGTGTTCTGTCTAGATCTTCCTCATTAACTTCTATAGATGCATTTTTTTACTGCTGTTTAGTTTTCTATAGGAAATTAAGTTGTAAGCAAATCTATAACGATCTCCGTGTGCAGATTTTTTTTTTTAGTGATGACACAAGCTGTTAATCTCCTGTGTTGTTTTCTGGCTAGTGCCATAGCATGTGTTGTCTCAGCTTGTTCTATGAAGGTGAATTTAAAACAAGGCCAATATTTTATTTACTTTTTTCCTTCTACTGTCTTTTTAGTTAGTGTGTATAAACTATTAGGGTCAAATCTATGACTTCAGGAGCTTGAACTTTACTTACAGTAGAAATTAGTTTCTAGAGAGATTCCAGCTAATGATTTAAATACATTATCTTTTTGCTCACAAACCAAGATGTCGTAGGTGCATTATGAACCAGATTGTCCTCAAGATGCATGTGTAATACTTGTGCCGTGGTCTGATGTCCTCAGCATGCTGCCTTGGTGCCCTTTGCTTCCCTTCTATCAGGCACTGGTAGCTTATAAGGCCAAAAATAGTAATAGTTTGAAGGTGTATGTAAAGCTTCTGTATGTAAAGGTACAAATTCAGCTGTTCTCAGTGGTCTTTTCCATGGGACAGCAGTGTAAGCTTGTAAATCTCAGTCCAGTTAAATCTCACTTAATACCTGTTTGTAGTACAAAAATCTGATATATGGTAATTCTTGTTTAGTATGTCCTCTCTCTGAGAGGGAATGTAGTCAGTTTCTCTTGCAAAACTGGAATGTTTTGATTTTGTTTTGGTTTTGTTCTATTTATTAATTTATTTTCTAATGAATATTTTGGAAATCAGCTATCTTGGTCAAAAAAGACATTGATGCCATCTGCTCCAAGTATGTTTCTGTGAATTCGCAAGACAACCTGACAAACCACAGCCAGGTTGTAGATTCAGAGCTTGTTTTTAAACTCTTTTGTTTCTTATGTTTTGAATACCTCTTCAGCCTGCTCAAGAGGCACATGTATATCAGCAAAACAAAAAGCCCCCAAAATCTCCTCAGAATAGTATTCAAGTCAGCAATTCTGCTGAAGTTGATGGGAACAGTTCTGCTCTTTCATTGGGCCAGGGTCTCAACTAGCAGAACATATACTACAAATCAGCATTTGTCATTTTTTACCTAGTTGTTCTCTCTTCACTACAGTTGATAGCGAGAACAGAGATGGGAATGATACACTCAAAGAATTGTGTGAGTGCATTGTTTCCTGTTTGAGTCTGTTTGTTATGAAGAATATGAACAAAAAATCCCAAGTATCTAATTTTCTCTAAACAGTAGATGATTATACTTTGATGGTCTGAGATCAGAGTCCTTTATGGAGAGATGAAGGCCTGTCCATAGCTTGCAGTAAATTTTTCTCTGCGTCGTTACTCTAAAAAAGTATCTTCCCTGCAGACTTTGGTACCTAGAAGAAATGTGACTTCTCCAACAGATAAAAATTTAGAAACTGATGCTTCTCTTTCTTGTACCAAAATATAAGTAAGTAGACCTAGGATATGCCGAAAAGGGACCAAAAAGGATGCAGTTAATCTTCCACTGTATCATGGCTTAACCTCAGCCAGTAACTTGGTCCCACACAGCCGCTTGCTCACTTCCCCAGCAGTGGGACAGGGGAGAGAACTGGAAGAGTAAAAGTGAAGAAAACACGTGGGTTGAGATAAAGACAGGTTAATAGGTGAAGCAAAGGCTCTGCACACAAGCAAAGCAAAACAAGGAGTTCATTCATTGCTTCCCGCAGCATCTCCAGGAAAGCAGGGCTCCATAATGCGTGGTGGTGACTTGGGGAGACATCATCACTCCAAATGTCTCCACTTCTTTCTTCCCTAGGCTTATATGCTGAGCATGTCATATGGTATGGAAAATCCCTTTGATCAGTTAGGGTCAATTGTCCTGGCTGTGTCCTCTCCTAACTTCTTGGGCACCCCCAGCCGACTCACTGGTAGGGTGGTGTGAGAAGCAGAAAAGCTTACACAGCACTGTGTAAGTGCTGCTCAACAATAATGAAGATATCTCTGTGTTATTAACACCATTTTCAACGTAAATCCAAAACACTGTGACGTACTGTGAAGAAAATTAAGTCTACCCCAGCCAAACCCAACACACAGTGGCATCTATTTATAGCATATGCTTCTCTTCAAAGACTTCTGTAATGCCTTGTTTTGTTGTTGTATGTGAAATGTTGGTTCTTGTATCTTCTGGTCTTTATTCTATGCTGATAGGACTCCTGGAGTATCTCAGCTTGACAGGACTTGGGTACAATGGTATCTTTGAGTTTGACATCTGATCCAGCAATGACAAATACCCATCATGAAGAGGGCTGTATTCTGACACACAGGAATTTTAAATTGATCTTAAATATAAAACAACAAGAAAGATGAATAAAAATGTTATTATCAAATAGCCCTTTTTTTCCCTGTGGAAAATTTTAGGTAATTGATTTCTTAACATAGCTTTATCACCGATTTTAAGAACTCTGTACTGAGATCTGTACTGAAAACTGCAACTCTTAATTTGTTGGCAAATATTAAAGCTAATAGAAAATTAGAAAAAAAAGTCTCATTTGTAGAAGAGACTTTTGGTTTCATTCCCATTAAATTACTATTGATATTTATGGAAGGATAAGTATAGTCTTATTTATAATTGTTGATATATCTTCCTTATATATCAGAGAATGAACATAAAAATTTTTGATTGTTATTTAGTTCCTCAGCAGTAATCTGTTTAAAATGCAAACAGTATATTGGAATTAAGACAATGTTTCTCATAATATAAAGAAGTTTTATTCTTTCTTTTGGAGTTTGATAATAAAAGTGGTGTATACCCTTTATGGTCAATATCGTGTAATTTCACAACCTTGTGGTGCTTAAAATAGAAGCTGTTTTCTTGAGTGCCTTGTTAATTTGGGTGTTTCTTCATCTGGATAAATTTCTTGCCTAAAATGTGTAATTTTTCCTAGAGGTGCCATAATGTCATACTGTTTCCACTATGTCCATAGTGGAGTTGCACATTTTTAAGTACCACATCGGTGAGCAGCAGGCACCAGTTTCTAGAAGGAAAATGATGTAGTTCCTTTAACCTCTTTGACTTCTGGCTTCTTTGGTGAGCCAGCTGAGGTTAATGCCTCAGGTAGTATTTTAGAAAAGCGTTACACTTTAGAAAAGGGTTCTTAAATTGTCCTTGGGTAATAATAAACTATATAATGGACTTATATTTACTCTATCTCAAATTTACGATGTTTATTCCATTTCAGAGGTGTAATGAAACTTTTTCAATGATTATGTCATCTGTACTTAACTTGTGATGTGAAATAGCCACACTGTGAATCTGCCTCAGTAGCATTGTTTCAGTTCTTCAGTATTGATATTTCAGCTTTTTGTTATTGATACTGATTTAAAGTACTTTCTAATGAAAGAGACAGTTAAACTTGTATATACTGCTTTTTTTTGTTCATTTTACAGTCTATCTCTCTAACTCTTCCTTATTTAGCACTAAGTGTATGGTAACTTGCTATCTAATGAGTTAACAGAAGAGTTGGAAGATCTCATAGACTAAGCTATAGTTAAATAGCTATGTCATATCTTCCCTGCAAAGTTTTGACAGAGCAGTAATTTCTTGTCAGGCCCACAAATTCGAATATTTAATGCTGTACCATCCTCACAGACTTTTCATTGTTAATTCTTATGCTCTGCAGTTATTTTGCATGGTGCCCAGGTCTCTCACTATACCTCTTACTCAAATAAAACGACATGAAATAAATAAGATGTAGTAGAATTTTAACTGTCCTTTTTCAAAATGTGCACTTAGTTTCAGCTTTAGCTTCAACATATAACAACTGAATGCCTAAAATACATTTGCTAGTGGTACCTGACTTCAAATGTTAATTTAGTTTAGTAGAACAGTGGACAAACTTGAAGCCATATCACTGTAGTTTCTTGTAGTTTTCATGTTTCAAATACAGCTATTTACTACATAAATTATGGGTCTTAATGGTTGATTTTTTTTCCCCCTTTTTTTTTTTTAACAGGTATTAAACCTCTCTGAAAAGAGATATGACCTTGCCAAGCTTAATCCAAAGGTATTGATTGTCTTCCATAACATCTCTTTCTAGTGTTAAATACAACTTAAATGGCCTGGTAAGCCCTGAAGCTATGCAAGTGTTGATATATAGAGTAAGGGAACAAGTTTTGGAAGATGATAAAAAGCCCCACATGCATCCCTTTTTATTTTTTCCCAAGTTATGTTTTGTGTCTGTTAGGTCTGTGTTTTACATAGCTGTTCCTGTTGTTTTCTCAGACTTTATACACAGGACCTGAAGCCTGTTGTAACTTCTGAAAAACTCCTATTGAATGCTATAAATTTTACTTCAAGTATACTTTCTTTGTGCAGTCACAGTATACTGGGATTATATACTGTAATGTACAATCAGATAGCTGAAGCTAGTGAATTCGGCTCAGAAAGGACTTCCCTTTTCTACTATCTTTGCATAGTTCTCTGCACAGTAGAGACATAAGGAATGTCAGAATGGTATCTGTCTCTTGTTCCTCCTCACCAATGTTGTATTTGTTTGGTGTAAAAAATGGTGTGCAGGTACTCTTCAGCATCTATTATAAGGCCAGAGTAGCACAGATGTGTATTTATAGCAGTAGATTTACATGGATATATGCTACCTGTTAGTTTTAACCTTTTGAGTGCTTTATTGATCATGAAGGATTTAAATTGTTCATGGTTACTGGGTTACTGGTTTTGTTAGTGTTATATATGCATACAATAATAGGTTGAATAAACAGTATTATGTAGTGACTAAAGCTGAATAGAAAAAAGGAAAAAAATTAAGATGCCATGTCTGTTGCACATGAAGGAAATAAATTTCAAATCAAATGAAACCAATCAAATTAGAACAATCTTTGTTCTAACTTTGACCTTCTTTACTGTTATAAAATACCTGGATATCTAATTGAAAAATCTTTAAAAACTTGAGATCTTCAGAAATGTTGTCACTTTTAAGTGGTTGGTGGGATTCGGGGGGGGAGCTTTTTGGGTTTTTTTATAAAATACCAGAATCTTAAAAACAAATTCCCTTCTTCCCCTTAAGAGACCTGTAAGCATCATGGCATTTGAATGGCATGGTTGTCTGGGATTGGAAAAACTGTGGAGACTTTGAACCATCACAGTTATTTGAATCCAGATTATAATATGTGATACTAGGGTCAAGGTGTCTCTTGTAAATATTACTTGTTTAACTGCAGATTATGGATGTGGGGTGGCCTGATCTCCATGCTCCGCTTCTTAATAAGGTATGCACCATCTGCAAGGCTATGGAGTCATGGCTGAACAATGATCCTCAACATGTGGTGGTAATACACTGCAGAGTAAGTGAGCCTTTTATATACATACAGTTTTGTATTCATTTTCAAAAACATTATCCTTTATTCTTACTCATTTTAAAAAATAATGTTTGATCTGTTTTCAGTGTTGGAAACAGTATGCCAGATCTTCAGTTGATATAAGTATGCTTAAATCTACTAACCTTGCATGCTTGTTATAGATTGTTTTTTATGATGACTAAGATCCTAGCCCCTGCTGCAGATACAGCATGCAGTGATGTTAGCTCACATCCTGCAAAGGTCACTGTTACTTCTGTGGGCGTATTTAGAAGCTTGAGGTTTTTCCCAGCTTTATATGAAATTCCTTAGAAGCTCTTCATGTTCTGTGACGTTCATGAATTTTGTGGTGGGGTTTTAAGTGGCAGCATCACTGCAATGCCTTATAGCAAAGCTACCAGTATGCTGTGTTACTTCCCCTTCCATGCTCACAAAGAAGAGAAATAAAGAAAAACCTTAGCTAAATGTGGATAAAATGAATTCAGAACTGAGTTGGTAGCTATGCTGGTGACACTTGAGGCAAACCTGTCTCTGTATCACTAGCAGATGTTACTCTAAACAAAATGAGGGTGATAATGGGACCAAAACTTCTCTTCAAGTCAGGTTGTATAGTCCCCAGTCCTGAATTTCTTACAGACAGAATGCCATTATTGTATGAAACGCTTGAAGTCTTACTAGTTGCAGACTACTGCCAGGAGTAAGGACCATTCACATGAGAAAAGAAAAGGGAACAAAGTATTTCTACATATACAGTTATATGCAAATTGATAATGCATGTTGTTGATTAATGTCTTTTGGTAATTTTGATTTCCAACTGCAAAGATAGATACAACCAACTATGTGTATCAGCTGAGAGACTGAAAACGTTTTGAAATCCATGGGAATTACTGCTTGGTAGATTGTACTGAATTTGTCATGTAAATTTATTTAAAATTACTTTGGAGCATTTTTTAAATTATCCATAGAAAATCAGTTGTAAATCTCAGGTGTTGGGGAGGTAAAAATGCCCGAACCTGTTAGAAACTCATATTCTTTCCAAAATAGGTATTTTATAGCATTTCATGCTGGAAAGTGCAACATTGTCTAAACTTGTTGTGAATGATTTCTGGGAAAATATAATAAAAAATTAGAATAGTTGACACAATTTTTCTCCCCCCCTCCCATTCCTTTAAATCGGTAAGACTTGACAGGCATGCTCATAGAAATCCTATTTAGTGGGGTTTTTTGTCATTTGTGAGCCAACTTGCATTGACAAATAAGCTGCTGCCCATTATATCCACCTTTCCATCAACACAGGGGGGATGCATGAGTAAAAGGACTGACTGAATATCTTGTCTTAAAATTGTATTTACTACAGGTCTTAAATAAAATAATGCCCATTAATGTAATAAATAAGTTATCATTCCCTTTTTCCTAATACAGGGGGGAAAGGGAAGGATAGGTGTAGTCATATCATCGTATATGCACTTCATCAATGTTTCTGCAAGGTAAGTGTGAATAATGCATGTTATGTGTTTTTTACAATATGCATCAGGAAAAATGCCTTTTAGTTGAGTAGTGTCTGTCAGTTTACTGTTTGTCAGTTAAGGTTTGTCAAGTTTTCTTCCCAAAGTGTCTTGGAGCATGTCTTAACAGAGCCTGCTTTCATGACAGACTGTTCTTGTAGTCCTGTTTTCGGTAGGAGGTTGGACTAGGTGACACCCTAAGGTCTCTTCAAAACTGAGATTTTTAATGGTTTGCAGGAAACTTCTAAAGGGTGTTTCAAGATGGCCTCTTTTGAATCAGTGAGAAATTATTCTTAAAGTACTTAAGGAAAACAGGTATTAGAATCTGGAAACAGTATTTGAATAGGAAATTCCTAGACATTGATCAAAGTGCAGAATGCAGTTTAAGAAATAATCTAGACTTTATTTTGATTTTTTCAGTTGATTCTTTTGGAATGCTCAAGTTAGGAAATGGCAATTCATAATTTGTCAACAAGGATAAAATTTAATAAATGGTCTCAAAAAGGATGAAATATGTTTCAGAGGGGTTTGTTGGGTTTTTAATCACATTGTTTTCCATTGGTTTCTTTTATATATATACACATACATAAATGCCCTCTAACTGCTGTGGTTAAGTCAAATTTGCTTCTGAATTCACACCAACCTGTCAGTAATAGATTTGATCCACTACTGCAGTTGATGGGGTCTTAAATCACTAGAGGTTGATGGCAAATTACTCATGGATTTCACAAAAATGAGAATCTCAGAAAACAATCTGTGCTCACTAGGGTAAGCCCAGTCGAGAGGTCATTATAGACCAAGAAGCTAGGTGCATTGTATACACCAGTATGTGCTGAAAAAAATACTTGAACAACTACTTGAATATTTTCAAGTAGTAATTGCAGCAGCGATTGCCCCAATTTCATAATATTTTGTTGAGAAGCATTATGAATAACAAAATCCGTCAAGTAAGGGTAGTACGGTACTGTGGTGTGATCTCAGTGTTGCAATATTATGTCATCCTTAAAGGTGGTACCTGGCAGAAAATTACTATGGTTGCAGCTGTTGAGGGTGCCAGCTTCTGTGTCAGAAATGGTACTCAGAAGACTTTGATGTTCATGCCAAATAAAATTCCTGATTTGTCAGCATGCACATATCTCATGGTTCTGTCCAGGGCAGTGTTAATTTTTGCAATAGCTAGGAGGGGGCATGGGTAAGGGAGTCTCTTTGGGGGAGAAGGGGTTCCTTCTGGTCAAAGCGTGGTGGAGGGAGTGGTGCGATGGCACCAGTTCTGATCTGGAGGGAATGGTTGGGTAATGCTGGTTTCAGGCTGGAGGGAGCAGCTGGGTAAGGCCAGTTCCGAGGGTAACATGTTGGAGGGGGTGATCGGGTATTGTCTCTTGTCGTGGGTTTCTGCAATGAGCAATAACATTTCTTTTCTGGTACCCTCTCGTCAGTATTGTTGCTGTAACTGTTTATTTTCTGGCAACATGCCAAAAAATCTAGGTATAGTGAATTTAGGCTTAACACCTTTCCTACAAAGACAGGCTGAGAGGGTTAGGGCTGAGGTTGTTCAGCCTGAAGAAGAGGAGGCTCCAGGGAGACCTTCTGGCTGCTTTCCAGTGCCTAAAGGGGCCCTACAAGAAGAGTGAAGTAGGACTTTTGACAAGAGTATGCAGCGATAGGACAAGGGGGAATGGCTGTAGACTGAAGGAGGGTAGATTTAGTTTAGATATAAAGAAGGAATTCTTTACTGTGATGGTGGTGAGGCACTGGAACAGGCAGTCCAGAGAAGTTGTGGATGCCCCATCCCTGGAAGTGTTCAAGGCCAGGCTGGATGGGGCTTTGAGGAACCTGGTCTAGTGAAAGGTATCCCTGCCCATGGCAGGAGGGTTGGAACTACATGATCTTTACGGTCCCTTTAAAGCCAAACCATTCCATGATTCTATGAAAAAGCCTTAATGATGTGGATCTATTTTGGTTATGTCTTATAATATCTGATTTGTCTCATTTAAGAAGGAATAATGTGCCAAAATTTAATGAAGTCAAACAGAGCTCTTTGTAATTGTTGGTGAACTCTGTTTTAACACGCAAAGCATTCGCAGTCTTTGGTCTGTTAGGAATGGGTTGCCTAAATTCTGAATGGTAGTGTGGGTGAAGATATATGAAGATATATGTTGGATTGGGTCAGGAAAAGGTTTTAGGTCAAGTACACACTATGTAATCTTTAACATTCATAAAGAGAAGGTTTGACTTTACAGCCTGTCAAGACAATTGGCAACTTCTAAATAATTTTTGGAAAAGGCATAAAACACTTTTATTTTAAATAGTCTCTTCCTTGGTGGCTCAGGGCACAGCAAACAAAGACTGAATTAATTGTTGACTGCTTAAATGATCCACTAGCTGGGTACTGTAGTTCTTTTTGAAAAAGAGAATAAATTTTTATTTTATAGAGAGAACTCCCCAGTCGCACTGGGAGGAAATTATAGCAAGTATCCTTCTTTGGGAACTTGAGCTGCTTGGCTTTGCCGAAGTTCGTTGCATTATGACTTTAATATGTTCATGTTGCACATATGCAATCCAGTTAATTGAATAAGAGTGTAGGTGCTTTGCCTCAGGAAGGAAACTGCCTTAACGTGTTGAATGAGAAGGTGTCAGTGGAAAAAACATTGTTGTTTACAATGTCCAAAGTGCTAAAGTTGCTAGTTAGGTGCTTCTTTTTTTCCTTGCTTCCCTCCTTTTTGTCTTTCAAATATTTTTGCATATTTCAAGCAGTAACCTGATGAATTTCCAAGAAAACACCAAGGCAAAATAACATGATATCTATGTCTCTCTTTTGACAGTGCTGATCAGGCTCTAGACAGATTTGCTATGAAGAAATTCTTTGATGATAAAGTTTCAGCTTTAATGCAACCATCCCAAAGAAGGTATTCAATTTGCTTCTGATTCATACCAATAAGAAATGTCATCATTATCTTCTGCTCCCATCCCTTACTCCCTCCCGTGCTATGTGAAGACTATTTCCACAAGATCCTCTGATGCTTCCTGAACTCTTAGCACTTTATCTTGTATTAATATTCCTTGATTGATGAGATCTCTCCTTCAGTTCCTGCATGTAGACCAAGACAGATAAGACCTTTTGTACCACCCTGTTATCTGAGTTCTTACTGCATTGTTTGTTAATAAAGAGATGTCACAATCTGTTTCTTGATTCTTCCAAGGTAATAGTAAACTCATTGTGACATAAATGATGTATATGGAATGTGTGCTGATTAGTGTGCAATAAAGATCTTAGTAATACTTGTTTAGAGGATCTACAGATGATGCATTTACCCCATCTCCATGCTAGTAAATGTTTGTCAAAGCAGGCATTATTCATTATGTCTATCTTCATGTGTTACCTTTTCAATCTGTCTAAATAAAGTTGAGTGAGGACTCAAAGTAATAAAGCACTTTGGGAAGTGAATAGATCTGGGGTTTGCTATTTACCTTGTTTTGATGAGAGGTAATGAAGGATTCAGTACCAGAAGAGACTGATATCCATCAGAGTAATTGTGATATAGGTGAATCTTCTTTTAGAAATATAAAATATTAACTGGATTTGATTTGGTAATTACCGTTCATTTATTTTTTATTAATCCACATGTATGCAGTAGGTTTTTTAGAAGTTGCTGGAAGTATAAGCCTTTGCTAGTAATTAAAGCAGAAAAATCAGTAGTAACAACAGAGTAAGGCATTTGGTTTTGTTATCTAAGTAAGAAAAATTTTTCTGTTAGTTTTTGAGCCTATTTGGTGGCATGCACAGCTATTTTTAACTTGAAAAATAGTAACACAACATTCCATTAGACTTGAAATAAAATTTTCATAACTAGAAGTTTACTGCCTTTTTTGGTTTTAGTTTTATGTTTGCATATATGTATATTACATTTTAATAAGAAGAATTTGAGAATGCTGCCTACCAGAAAGAGAAGTGTGAACCATAGCAGCAAAAGGGAATAGATGTTGTTAATCTTCCCATCAAGAAGCCTTACGCAGCAGGCATATTTCAGTGAGAGCCAAGAACCCTCACAGCAGCCTGTGAATTGTGCATTGGGGTAGTTTTTACAACCATGTTGACAGGAGGCTTCAATAAGTGATCTGTATGTGAGTCCTAAAGCTAGAGATTAAATAGGTGTAAATAGTTGCATTTATCTTTTCCTACCCTCTTCAAGGACACTTGCTTAATTAATTCTTCTGGGGGGGCCAGGGAGAGGGTTCACCTCTTGACTGATGTGATTTACATCTTTGCTCAACGGTACTGAACTTGAGCTGCTCTTACTATCTTCCAGATGCATACACTTACAGACACTTTATTTTAGAGAGTTATTTCCCATGAGGACAGAGGAGGTTCTCCAAACCATTGGTCAGAACCATTCTCCTCCTGAATATCGCCTCTCCTACCTTTGCCTGGCCTGCCAGTGGCTACTAATCCTATTGCAAGGAAAACAAATTCTAATATTTGTGGATAACTTTATAACCCTTTTTTTTGTTCCTGTTCTGATCAGTCAGTGGCCTGAATCACCTTTTTAATATGCTTTTTCTCTGAAACCATTCCTGGGTAATTAATTAGTGATGTCCTTGTTAAAATCCAGTTGACATATAAATGGATATAGCTTAGGTGGATCTCCACATGATAAAATATGAAAATACATCCGTTAATTGTATTTCGAAAACTTTTCACCAGTAAGTTTTGTTCAGATAAATTGTGGCCATTAGTGCATCAGTCCTAAAAATATCACTTAGCTTTTCCCCACTGCTGTAACAGTGACAAGAAAAGTAACTATAGACCAGATCTCCTATTCTGAATCCATTCTGATGATACTTAAAATGAACACTTACTCTCAGATAAGCAGTTGAAGATTTGCCTGAAGAAGAAATGCAGATACATACCCTTCATATGAAAAAAATTTCTCATAAACTTTCAGAATAGATCTTTTAACTCTCTTCTCAAAAGTAAGCTGACTGCCTATAGGCCTCTTAAATGCACTGTTTTGAGAAAGGCTTTCAAAAATTCAGTCAAATTTTTGAAATAATTAAAAGCAGGTAGTGGTAGAGAGCAAACGTTCAGACAAAACATTCTACTGCACTGTTTTTTTGTTTAGGTGTGGCAGTTTGTAGATTTGTGCTTTTGATGTACCAAATACTTTCAGAATACCTTTCGGAAGGAGGAAACCAAAAAGAAAAGTTGCCTTTTCTTAACATTTCAAAATAAATTGAGCTTTGCTAGCTCTCTATAAAATGAAACCACAACCCCCATTCTGGTGTAGTAAAGCTGTTGTTATTGGGCAGAATATCTTTAGTTGCGCAGTATGAGTTTAGTTAATGAGATCTGTGGATAAAGGGGGAAAAAGAGGTGATTTTTCTTTCTTTTATACGTTCCTGAGAATAACGTGAAATGATGATCATCTCATAGGCATGGAAGAAAAAGGGACTCAAATCCAGTAGAAAAATTAAAGGAGACTGATTTCCCTTGGTTATTTAAGGAAATAAGAGGAATTTGTTTAACGTACACTTCAGTGATATTGACTTGCATGTATTTACTCATGAGATCATGAGCTTGTGACTAAACCAGATACTAAATAGCAGAAATAAAATGATTTTCACATTGCTATGGTAATTTTCCTCTGTTTTACCCTGAATGAGGTAACTTCTCCATTATGAAGATGTCATTTGACTGCATTGCTGATAATGCTAAGATTCTTGACAGGGGACTTCTTGCTCTTTTTTTAATGAAGTGAACTTCACTGTAAATGGAGTAGGACCCATATCATACTGCTGTGAAAGCTATTTAAGACCTACAGTTGCAACTAGGAATGTGTACCAAAACAATTGACTTTACTGTATCTTCTAGTTGTTTTCTTATTTAGAGTAGTGATGTAAATAACTAAAATGAAGATATCAACAACAGAAATGCAACAGCCACGTGTTTAATAAATTAGTAAAGTGTCTTTTAATGCTGTTTTGTGAGGATTATTATTCTGGAGTTATGTACCATGTCACAATGCTATTCATTATTCATGATCTAGAAATATCAATGTGTAAATAATGTATTTCCCTGATATTACTACTTTTATTTAATACAGTTAAATTTTGTATTTTTAGATACGTGCAATTCTTAAGTGGCCTTCTATCTGGATCTGTGAAAATGAATGCAACCCCTCTTTTCCTGCACTATGTTATCCTTCATGGCATCCCAAGCTTAGATGCTGGGGGAGGTAAATTACCTAACTTTTCCTATTCAGGTATAGGATCAAAGTCTTGTTTCATTTTGGAGCTTTCGAGAAAGCCTGCATGAATCTCAAAGTAGAGTTAATATCTTCTTGATATCCATCCAAATATTTCCAATAATGAAACCAGAAGAGAAACATCCTAAGAGTAAAAATTGGAGCAGATCAAATGAATTTCTTGTTCTCTCTTAAATGAACAGTTGATGCTATTCGTGTCTGCCTAGTTTCTGAACAGTTGTGAGCCCTGTTACTGCAGAAGATCTGAGAACCTTGTCAGGTTTCACAATCATTTCCTCTTTGTTTAGGAAATAATTGTAAATATAATTTCTGTTTTGAGATTGCATTTTCTGTGGAAAAACTGTTTGGCTGTGGTGTGCTTACAGAATTACAGAGTCACAGAATCATTTAGGTTCGAAAAGGCCTTCAAGATCATTGAGTCTAATCTTTGACCGATCATTACCTTGCCAACTAGACCATGGCACTAAGTGCCACATCCAGTTTCTTGAACACCTCCAGAGATGGCGATTCTGCCACCTCCTTGGACAGTCTGTTCCAATGCTTAACAACCCTTTCCATGAAGAGGTTCTTCCTGTTGTCCAAGCTGAACCTTCCCTGGTGCAGCTTGAGGCTATGTGCTCTTGTCCTGTCACTAGTTGCCTGGGAGAAGAGGCTGACCTTGCTACAACCACCTTTCAGGTAGTTGTAGAGAGTGATAAGGTCTCCCCTTCTTTTCTCCAGGCTAAACGCCCCCAGCTCCCTCAGCCGCTCCTCATATGACTTACTCTCTAGACTCTTCACCAGCTTTATTGCCCTTTTCTGGACACACTCCAGCAACCCTATATCTTTCTTGAAGTGAGGGGCCCAGAACTGGACATACTATTGCAAGCCACCTCAGAAGTACTGGTGAGGCCGCACCTCAAGTACTAAGTGGCTTTAAAATTAAAATGATAAAACAAGATACTGTGCTAGAGCACAGTAAAGGAGTCCAGCTCTAGTAGTTGGACTTGATGAACTTAAAGGTTTTTTCCAACCCTAACGATTTATCATTCTATAACAGTTCTATGAATCTGTATTTTTATTATCTGACAGTTAAATAGCACTGGTCTTTTAAAATATAATCAGCATGAATTTACAGTGATTCATTGTCACTGTTGTTCAGTCTGGTTTTATTTCTAAAATAACTGTTTCAATAAAGTCAGGGTAGTGTTTGTTCAAGTAAGAAATTTAAGGGCCTTATTAGTTTTTAAATGAAACTGTAGATCAAATATTTTGTTTAATTTTGAAAACACTTTTTATTTTTTGGGGGGGGTAGTTGGTTTTGTTTTGGCCATTGTCTTACTTCCTTAATAATTTCATTTTCTTGCAGAATTTGTTTCTGTCCTGACCAGAATCCTGTAAAATCCTCATATCCAATTCAGAACTAGTCTGGAGATCAGGAAAAAGTATATTTTTCATAAATAAAATCTTTTTTAGGGGAAAATTAATCTATCAAAGAAAATTTTGCTTTGAAGGATATTTTTACAGTCAACATTGCACCACTTGTGTGCCACTTTGCTCAGTCTGGATGTGCCTGAAGCTTCCTAGTTGTAATTGTTTTCCTGTATCTAAATATTACTAAATAGTCTTTCTGTTGACTTCTTTTCAGCTTGTCGGCCTTTTCTGAAGTTATACCAGGCTATGCAACCAGTTTATACATCTGGAATATAGTAAGTTGTAAACATTTCCCATTATGTTTGAATTTAGGTTTTAATTTTCATAATTGCAGAATTACAAAGTTTTTTGTTGTTGTTGTTTGTTTTTTGGTTTTGTCTCTTTAAACTATGTTTTTATTCTTCTTTTCTCTCCTGTTGAGTAGTATAGGGTCAGAAAATCAAAACCGAATCTGCATTGCTATAGACCCTGCCCAGCTTTTGAAGGGAGATATTATGGTAAGCTAATCGTATGGAAAATCTATTAATGTGCCATTTGGTTTACAGTCTCTGACCTGTTTTGTATTCTTGTAAAAAAATTATTTGAGGAAATGGTTGGAGATACTACAAAATACATTATTAAGTTAATTCAGTCATCATCTTTGAGTTTCATGGGAATCAAAATTCTTCTAAAACTCGAACTAGAAGGTTTTTTAGGAGCTGAAACGATTGCTCTCAGCATTCCCATTTCATAGCATCACCAAGTCCAGTAAGGCCTGGATTGCTGTTTTCTTCATAAAGATTACTTTGGGGAGTATTTGTAGCTTGGCATTAAAATTCGTTTGTCCTATAATTTGGCAGACAGTGTGCAAAATTGTAAAACTGTATGTTGTGAAGAAAATACCTAAGTAATTTTAAATTGTTTTGGGACTCACAAAGGTGTGATACCCAAAAAAAGCTTTCTGATTCTACAAGCACATGCAGTATTTAGAAGGCAATTTATATGTCCTAATATAGTGCATTGCAGCACTATAATTTTAAATCTCTCTGCTTTCTTTTTTGATTGTCATATACAGTTAAGCCCAGAGAAAGCAAAGAAAAATAGCTGCTGTGCCTTTCAAGTTGTTAAACTAAAACAACATGCGGATTGAATGGTGGGGGGAAACATTGTCAGAGAGTATTCCTGGTCTATTGCTAGTAGGTTTCACAATGTTTTCTTATGTTATTGACTACTTTTGAGAAATGTTGGACCTAAATGTAAGTGGGTCTGTCCTGGTTCCAGCCAGGACATGGTTAATTTTTGCTGTAGCCTGGAGGGGCATGGCTAGGACCTGGAGGTTATTTTATACCACCTTACCTCATTTTTTGGGGAGGGGGGAAGGGCTCCCTTCTGTGTTGGGTACTGTGGCAGAGGGTGGGTGGGTGAGCAATCCTGTGAATCATTTGGGGTTTTTTTTCTTATCATTAGTATTGTTGCTGATACTGTTTGTTTTCCTATCCCATTGCTGTTTCCAGTAATTGTTTTTCTCTCGACCTATGATCTTTGTCTTTTATGCTTCCAATTCTTCTCTCCAGCCTGCCCCAGGGGGAGGGGGAGGGATCCAGCCCTGTGTGGTTTGGAGTGTTTCAGTGGGAACACTGAAGTTGAGAGCACCATTCTTAAACCACCGTAGGGTCCTTAGTATCAGATTCTTTTTTTCATCTTCCCTCCCCCATTCAGTTTGAAATATTGTTCTTTCTTTCACTGAAAAATGGAGGAACAATTTTTAAATATACCTTTATGAATTGGCTTACTGTGGAGGTTTTGGACAGTTTCAAATTCAAACGTATTGGTGGACTGTAAGTGCCTAAGGAAGTGGAATATATCACAACAAAAATCAGTCTGAGATCAATTCAGTATCTCTCAAATGAGTTTCTTAGAATGAAAAAAGGGCACATAGCTTTTCAGTAATGCTTGCATAATTTTAAAAGAGATCATCTTCATTTATCACGTGCTATTATTTGAGATAATTCTGAGGAAGTAACTGTCTTGTTCAGCATAGTAATATTTCCTAAACAAAGGCTTCACTTAAGTTTTGAATACTTTTATATTATGTCTAAGCAAAAGCATCGGTGGTATCAGACAAAAATAATAATCTCTAGGATGCTTCACCTCCAGTTCCAAAAGGTTTAACTAGTTGAAGTGCATGGTTTAAAAAAAAGAAGGGAAAAAAATATCCTTGCTTTAGAGAACTTAATTCAAAGTTACACTTAGACTTCATTGAAAGCTTACAATATCTGATCACTAAAAGATATTTTCAGTATCTGCGTATAGATGTACAATATTATTGATTGTAAGAGAGGACATATTTTCATAAACAAGTAAGTTAATTTTAAGCTATACTAAGTTAATTCTAATCTTTAATTAAGTTTAAGTTAATCTATGTTAAAATTATCCAAGGCTGTTACTTTGAATTAGAAACTAGAAAGAAGGAGGAACTCCTTCTCTCATGCAGCATTTTTATGAACACAATTATGCAAAAGACTACATTCTCAGTAAAGCCAGCAACTGTGTGAAGCCAACTCTTGACAAGCTGAAGCATAAAATGTATTGTTCAGGTATTGAGTTTTCTGTATCTTCAGCAACTCTCATATGTAATCCACATGTAAAAATAATATGATTGTTTGAACAGCTAGAGAAGTTAATGTTGTAATTTAAAAATTAAATTGTGGAGGAATGTATATAACTTCTTTTTGCTCACATCATATGATTAAATGGAATTATCACACTTACTTCCACACCAATTCTACATTTTGGAGCAGGTTAGTTCTCGTGCCTCTCATCGGGACTATCTTAATTCCATTTCTGTCTATTTTTCACTTCTGGGCAAACTGTCAGTTTTCATCCTTTATGATGATGTTTTGCTTTTACATAGAGTTGCTCAGTGTAGTGGAGAATGAGCATTTAGTTATTCTTGAATCAGGCAGTCAAACTTACTTTTTACCTTAGGTTTTGGTAATTTAAGTAGTGAAGTGAGGGTGGGAGTTGTGTTGGACTAAAAGGAAATAGATTCCTTCGATAGGCAGGGATCACAATGTTCACAGTGTGCACGAAGTTTCTTTTGGTGCATGTAAAGCACTGTCTAAAATAAGAAGCAAGTACTGTTTTATCTGATATTGGCAATATGCTGTAGGGGATTCTCTTTAAAAAAAAGAAGAAAAAACAACCAACCTCCTCACTTTCAGATAAAATAATGATTACTCGCATAGAGAATCTCCCAGCCCTTACAAAGGATTAGGAATATGTAATTTGCGTAGAGAATACCATAAACCATCTCTGGTACATGGGCTGAAATATTTCAGTAGTTGTCCTATGTGCCATGTATATGCTGATTAACTTCTGGAATTTAAGACATCATGGGGTTACTATATGAAGGACAGAGAACAAGGGCTTGTGTTAAGAGTTTTCAAATCCTGTAGTGAGAAGAATTTTATAACTATGTTTTAATCCCAAGTTCCAGAAATGTCCTTCTTAAACTCCTACATCTTTCTTCTATTGCTTCATTTTGAATAACCGCTCTTTAGTTGTTTGGTATTTTCTCTCTAAGACTCTTTTCTTAGTCTGTCTTTAATAAAAGTGATTTTTGTTGTCTTTTAATACATTCCATTAATATCTGCTTTATCAAAAAGACCTGATATCATCAGGATAATATAATAAAATTTTCAGCCCTGTGACTATGATTACCAAAATTTTTATGTATTGCTCTTAGAATACACTGAGTGGCTTCGTATTACAGTTGACTCAGAGAATTAGTTGGTAAAATATCCATAGATTTAATCTTAGGGAAGGTGGTGTTAGAGAATATTGTCTTCACTTCTACCTGCTGAAATTCATACTAGATATTTTGATAGAATTTTGTGTTCTATGCAAGACATCAAAACTGCTACCAACTTCCTGCAGTCACATAAAACAAAATACTGTCATCACTAGAGTAGATTTTTTTAAAAGTCCTAAAATAGATGTAATCAGCTTGCAGGCTTGCTTCGAAAAACTCCTCATACTTTTCAGTTATTTTGAAATGGGTGTACTGAAATTCATTAATTGGGTACTGTGAAGAAGTCTGGATACAGGTCAGCATTTCAATATTGTACTGCCAGGTATTGTGATTCTGAAACACAACCTACTGATCAGTGACTGATAGTGATGAAAACAGCAATTATTATTTCTTTTACATCTAGAAATATCCTGCCTTGCGTCTCTGTAATTTTAAAGGATTGAATAATGGTATACCCTTCTCGGTTCAACATCAGAGGTGTCTACAGTAAATTGCATTGTGGCTGCTTTAATTACCAGCTAATGCATACACATTTATTAGTTCCGATTTGTAAGAAAATACCTCCTGACATGTTTCTTTTTCTTTCTAGATTAAGTGTTATCACAAAAAATACCGTTCAGCTACTCGTGATGTGATTTTTCGCCTTCAGTTTCACACTGGAGCTATTCAAGGACATGGCCTGGTGTTTGGCAAAGAAGACTTGGACAATGCCAACAAAGGTACTTGTCTTCTGTGGTTGTTTGGATGTGTATGTGGATGGGGGTGCAGGTGTGTGCCTGTGCATGCAATGATCATCTTCAGCACACATTTTCAAAAGGATTATTGGTTGGTTTTTTTTTTCCCTTCCTTATTTTTAGGGAGACTGCTTTGTGTTAGTTAACTTATAGTTAACTTATAGCCCTTAACACAGATAAACGCAAGAAAATACAGGTAAAGAAAGAAAAGCTCTTCAAGTGAGTCAACTTGTCAAAATACTCAGATTCTCCTACATAGTCCTTATCACCTTTTCTTACATTTATAAAAACAATAAACCTTTGTTTAAATGGTGACACTGTTAGTCACCATTGAAGGAAATAAGATGATGAAAAAAGTCTACTGCTGTGTTTATGACATAGTCTGCTTGAGTATGGAGATCTTATAATATGCTTCAGAATATCCAAAAATGGAGATAAAGTTTTCAGACATACTTGAAAATTTTCCAAAATTATAACTTCAGTTTTATAAAAATAAAACATAAAAATGTTTATATGCAGGACTGTAACTCTCTCACACTATGTTACTAGCAAGCTAAAATCAAGCATATTGTCCCACATTGAACATATGGCTACACAGAAGTTTCGTGATCAAGTATTGCAGTTTAGCCAATATAGGAAACAATTTTAATTTTCATGGATGTGTTCTTAAAAGCAAAACTCAGCCATGTCTGTCTAGAGAGAGGGTTAGGAACTGTACATCTTTTCGGCTTTTGACTGTTCTTGAAAGTAAACAAAACTCCAGCTGGCACTTATGTGGTCTTTTCTGGAGAACATGTGGCACAAAGAATGTGATTTTTAAAAGCAAATCACTAAACTGCAAGTGAGAAGGAAAGAGTGATGAGAGTATGTGTATAGATAGCTATAGAGAATCCTGATTTCTGAGTGCTCTGAAACTACCCTCCTGGGAGACAGCCTGCTGAAATCCTATCCTTTGTTTTCAGATGACCGTTTCCCGGATTACAGCAAAGTGGAATTAGTGTTTTCAGGAACTCCAGAAAACATTCAAGGTGAGTATAAAGAACTAAAAATATGCTTAGTTTGAAAATAAATAATACTGAAATACGTACTTCAAAAAAATTTCCAAATCTCTTGTAGGAAATCTGAAATTTGATTTTGTCATTAAAATATACAATATAGTTACTGGTTTAAATTTGAAAAATTTAATGAAGACTCTGCATTTATATCAGCCTAGGAATGATCAGATTTTGTTTTAAAGCTATAGCAGAATAGTTGCTGACAACTAATAGAAAACATTAGTGTATCTGTATAAAACATGGGTAGTATAGGTAGCTTGGCCCAGCATAAGTGACAGGAGTGGCCTATCCTATAACCTTTTTTGGATGTTGTCACAACTGATTATGTTTGCAGTATTGGAGTTTGGACTGTCTTCAGTTTAGCATAAAGAGATACAGTTATAGTTTTCTTGAAAATGCTTCTCCTTTGAAGTTGGCTTGTAGGATATATTCTGTATGGTTCCAGAATTCTATTATAATGTGTCTGAGATTATTTGATAATTATGACCTGCAGTAAGAACTTAAGATCATGCTTTATATTGCAGTTTAATTCTGTTAATGAATGTGTTCTAAATCATTTTATGGTGTCCCAAAAAGTATGGATTCTGCCTGAGATTGAATGAAAACCAAATGCTCTGAACTGTATGTCTCATACATATTCCCATTCAGTGTCGTGTGAATTGCATGTTTTCCTTTTTTTTTCCCCACACTAGTTTAATAATTTAGAAACTTATGGCAGCAGCCAGTAAGAAGTTGGATTCTGTCCAACTGAACACAAAGATCTCACTTAGCCTGTTGGAAAGCTATGTAAGAAAAACAGTTTTATAAATAAATTTGTCTAGTTTGTTCTAAACATTTCTGGATAGTAAATGCTTGAAGAGAGGCCAGCTGACATGTTTAAAAAAGGACCAAAATTTTTTCAAGTTTCCCTTCCTTAGATGGCAGATGAGAGGTGTGGTCTTTTTAATAGGCTTCAAGTTGTTGGAAAGTAACGTTTTAAGTAATTGGATATTTGTGTTCAGTTGCTCTTTAAGGGATTAACTGATTAGGAAGAAGAGCTCACCTTGAAATATTTATTTACAATTTCTGCAAAATGACTTTTCCACATCTGGAAATATTACAGAATTACAGAATAACTACAGGGTATCTCTAGTCCATCCTCCTGCTGAAAGCATGTTCATTTGTGAGATTGGGCCAGGTTGCCCAGAGCTTTGTCCAGTCAAATCATGACAACCTTCAAGGATGGAGACATCACAGCCTGAATGGGTGGGCTATTCCAATGTCCAACTGTCCTAACAGTCAATTTATTTTTCCTTATATTGACTCTAAACTTATCTAGATTCAAATTTTGCCTGTTCCATATTGTCCTTCTGCCTTGCTCCTATCTGACTCTGTCTCCTCTAGGGCCTTTCAGGGGCTGCTGTCAGGTCCCTGTCAAGACCATCTCATTTTCAGACTGAAGAAGCCCTGATCCCTCAGTCTTTCCTCACAGGGGGAGAGTCTTTTGGTCCTGACCACCCTGGTCATGCTCCCCTGAACTTGCTTCACTTTATTAATATATTTCTTTTATTCTGTAGCTTGAAACTGGACATAGTATTCTAGAACATAACTGACTGCGATACAGTTTTAAAGAAAGAACGAGGTTGCCAAGAATGTAAGACCCCCAAATATTTAGTAATAAATTTCATTGATCTGCCTTGTGACAAATGTCATCACAGAAACATTCTACAGATGGCTTTTTCCAGCTTGTATGTAAAAGTATAGGACCGTAACATTCTTGTCCTTCTAATTTTAACTATGTTTTAAAAGTCACAGCATGTGCATAACACTGTTGCTTTAGAACAATTTACAGTAGGACTTGCTTCTGCAGACACAGTCGAAGAGTTGATAACTGAGAATTTCTTTGTTCCCTTATCTAGATAGAGGTGAAAACACAGAAAGCCTGTTTGATTTGCATCAGTATCAAAGCAAAGTTCAAGGTCATGAGTTCTTGATGCCTGTGTTTTGCTTTCAAATCACTGTGACCACACCTAAATTCCTCACATTTAAAACCTGAATATTATTTTATGCTTTGTTAAGGGCACAAAAATATGGGTTACTGCTGAAAATTCCAGGTAGGTTTCGCAGAGCACACTTTAAAGCAGCAAAACACATTGAAGGCAAGCTGCCCAGTCTCAGGTTCTGAAGAAATGGCACCTTGGGGGAACTGAAAAGGACACAGAGCCACAGTTTTCAGCTCTCCCTATTCATCTTTAATGATAAGTTGCCTGGTATCAAAATAATAACCTGTAAAAAAAAAGTCTAATTTTATAATTCCTTTAGTACCATCTCTTTATAGATACTTGTGGTTTCCTTCTCTCTTTGTTTTTGTTGTGTATGGCTGGGTGGGTCATCTGTGTTTGTTGTGTTTAGGAGTTGATCCAGATTATCAGACTACATCATAATCAAGAAGCCCAAGATAAAATTCTCTGCTTGAACCATAAATTAAGCTTTTTAAAAACTGTTTTATTTAACCTTTCTTCCCCTGTTGCTGCTTCTTACATTTCAGAATATGCTATTGCCATTTGGGGAGCAAACTTATGTCAGAAGGCCACATACATACATCTGTGTGTGTATATCGTTACAAATGTGACTATGATAATTTTTGGTCTCAAACATATATTTTTCAGGATGTGAACACTTTCAGAATGATCATGGAGTAATAGTTGATTACAATACCTCAGGCCCACTAATACGCTGGGATTCCTATGAAAATATGAGCCCTGATGGGGAAGGTGAGTATTTGGTCACATGAGACCAAAGCAAAACTTTTTGCAACTGTTGCAGAGTGTTAGGAACGAGAAGGGAGATCTTATTTGCTTGAAGCTAATGCGACTTTACTGTTGTGTTAACTAGCTGTCTAATCTCCCCTATTTAGCGTTAGGGGCTCTAATTTAGGAAAGAAAGCAGTACTAGTTAAGAGAGATTCTTGTCAATGCATGGAATTGAACTGAGAAACAACTCATTGATACAAGTTACTTTATTACTTGTAAATTTGCCTAAAGACACTTTTTTTTGTTCTAAAGCTTGTAGTGGGAATCTTAACATAGAATTTTAAGAACAACAAAATAATATGGTGAGTTTTTAGCTTTTGCTTACTATGTCAACTGGACTTTTGCAGAAGGTGCACTAGGCTGTTATGGATAAACAAACAACAAAGGATGTGGCTATTTGCATATCGCCCCTTGTAAATTTACCTGTTTCCAAATTGCCCTTTTATTTCTTAGATTTTTTTTTTTCTCTAATCTGCTGACACATGTAGAAGATTAAAAGCTCCAGTAACTGCCTTCAGATTCTGACTCCAGTGTGGATGATTTTCAGATGTTTTGCTTGAGTGAAAGCTGTGCTTTTAATGGATATAGTTTTCGTGTAAGGACTCAGAATGTCACACCTGTGTCTGCACACCTCAGCACACATGCAAGCCTTACATTGTTGCAAGTAAAAACATGAGACAAGGTATTGAATGGATGCCAAAGTTCTTGTTTTTACAACTCTCCTGTTCTGAAATGAGAGACAGACAGAGCTAGGATACCTAATTAGCTGATCACTAGGCTCAGTTTCAGTTGGTTTTTATAATCTGAATTCAACATTGACCATCTAATGACCACATCAGTGAGGGTTTTAGGGGCAGAGTCATACTTGGAGCTTGACTTTTTTTCACTGCCTCACTCTCATACAGAAGCATTTCCTAATGCACAGCAGACTCTAATTGCAGAAAACTAGGGGAATATAGAGAGTGTAAAGTCATTTGGTGCTGTTACATGGGGCAGGTAGAGCACTCTGTAAGGGAGTCATCAGAGCTTTTATAGTTGGATAAGACTGTGTAGTGTAGAAGGAATAACATCAGAGAGAGTGTATCTTGACTGGAGATGATGTCTTAATTTCTACCCAGGATGTTTCCATATAATTTGTGATTCCTTTCCCTCCCTCCATCTGCCATCCTTTTCCCTTTCCTTTGTATATACTTAGCCTTCACCAAGCAATGCATTGATATAAAATATTTTTAATTGCTGAGATCGATTGACTAGATGGATTTGACCTTCCCATTCTCATGCATTACATTGTAGGTAACTACATCAGTACAGAGAATTGAAAGCAGAGGTAAATGTGCAGGCAGCGCTCTGTTGGAAGATATGCTGCTCATGTCTTCTAGAAGAGTTGATCAGAGACCATTCACAAGGACTGTTAGCTTGTTTGCCTGTTGTTCAGAAGTCACATGTGCCACTTAAAGGCTTTTATGTCTAATTTGTGTGCATGATACATTTCTAATTACCTGAGATAGAACAGAAATATAATGTTTTAGCATAGATACTGAGTTCATTGTGCATCTGCAAAGAAATCACTCAAGTTGAGCTAGCAAATATACCATAAGAATATAAGATGTATCCAGTTACTCTCTTCTCAAGTAAACATTTAGGAAGCAGGCGGTTAACCTCTGATATTCAGCAGTGGAATTGCAGGCAGAGCATTTGGCTCTGCATAAGCTGGGCTAAAGCACATAGGGAACAACTATATTTTTCTCTTAAGGGTGAAGTCTGTACTTAGCACAAATTTAAGCTTAGTCTGATGCTTGAGGTAAATATAGTCATCCTCTATGTAAGATTTCTAAACACTGGGGCAGGCTTCTCTTTATGGTTTGTGCAGATGTTCCGTATCTCGCTTGTACATTAAAAAGGTGTATTGAGTCCTAGTTTTCACTACAGGTGAGAGACCACTAAGAGGAGAGGCTGACTTCACATTCAGAAAGTGATCTAAGTCAAAAACCCTTGAATCTGAAGCCTTTAGCCACAATCCTGAAGGCAGAGAGAGAATCTTTTCTGTATTTCAGAAAAGATTAAGGTGCAAAATGTGGTGCATTTGAAAGTGCATAACAGTGGTGGTATGTTTAAGGATCAGGGAAGTCTCATACAGAGTGCCTGTTTCAGATCTACTTCACATTAAGTTAAACTCCTAGCTTTATGTAGGAACTGGTCTTCATGATTTTATTTGGACCTGTTTTCCCACAGGAATTTCAGTAGGAATAGTATGAGATGTTACTGTGACAGATGATTCCTATATTACAGTTATACACCTTTTTGTGAATTTAAAAAATGTAGGCCTATGAAATTTCTTACTAAGGAAGGCTACAAAGGAGCCTTGTGAAGTGAACAAAATTTGCTTTGTAGGTATATTGTGTGTGGAATAGCTATTTCCAAGCTGATGTGTTTAAATAAAAAATTTAGAAGTGAACAAGAAAGCAGCATGTGTCTTTTGAAATCATACAACTATTTGGCCTTATTACCAAAAGAAAAAAAGACAAAAGGATATGATAAAATAAAAATGTTCCCAAGGTCTCTTGGTTTGCTGGCATGATACAGTATTACAGACCGAAGCAGTTGCCTTTAAATGATCTTGAACACTTTGTTAATAATGTTGTGTACATGTGTTGAATATAGCCAGGCTATGGATAGTTTGCTGTCTGAATTTAGTTCCTTATCCTTCATTCTTAACATTCTTAAGGAATTTTGACAATTGGAAAGCATTAAATTATTTGTGTTTCTTCTCATAAATACTGTTTCTATTCAGATCCCTTGGGAAGTGGTCCTCCATAATAGACTGAAAATTATATTAAGTTTCTAATTCTCAATTTGTATCAGATTTCCTCCTCCTTGACAGAGAATACCGTGACACTGATTTAAAAGTATGCAGTCACATGTAGGATTTGCAATCACAAGAATTAGGTCTTCCTACTGCCATGTAGAAGTCTAGCATAATTGCCATTGCTTTTCCTGTGGTTTTGAAGTCAGGAAGGATCTTGTGGTAGGAAGGAACAGAAATTGATTTTGATCTTGCTGAGTACTCTTACTTTATTCTTTAAAGCATCACTTACCATACAGTAGATGTGTATGGATTTATAAAAGGTCGCTCATTTCCTACAAAATAGCAAGTTGACCACAAAGATATAATACCTGTAGCCACACATGTGTAGTGTCTTCTAATACCAAAATCTCCATTACCAAATGACAAATAATTTTGAAAAAAGCTCCCTAGAGGGATGAGGTAAATGGTAAAGGTTTTTCTCTTTTGTTGAGGGTTCTTTTTAGTTCTCAGTGATAATTTTCAACATTATTGGCATAGTGCATAAGAGATACTGTTGTTAAACACTTCCCTCCTGATGAAAGTGCAAGTCTTCTTTTGGAAGATGGAAACCATCAGTTTGTGCAGAGCCCACCGGTGGATCCTGGTACAAGCCTAGGCTCTGAGGTGTTCTAAAAATAAAATCAGATTAAAAAAAAGTTAAAATAAAAAGATATTAAAATAATAATTAAATGTATTTCCAAAGAGCAGAAATTAATTTAAATTATTTGATTATGTAATAGTAATCATGATAGCATGCTAAAATTATTCTAGAGAGAACATGCCATTTGTGTTTGCAACATTCAGTTGGTTGAGATACAGGATTTATTTGTTTTTAAATAAAACTGGTTAGCCGAAAGTTTACTGTTTGCCAAAATAGTGTTTGAATTCAGTGAATTGGCAGCAGAAATGCACCTGGTTCTTGTTCAGTGTTCCATTTTAAGACATATTGTTTATTTTAACAACCACTAAGTCCCTCTGCACTCTTTTGTCTTCCAACTCTACAATCTGTGGAAAGAAAAGCACATGTGCACTGTTAGAAATTGCTTAAAATGACAAGAGAATTACTTTTAAATAATTTATAAGGCAGGAACTTAAGGTACTTAAGTATCTTTCTCAACAAAACCTTGCTATTTATTTCCTAGCAAACTATGTTTGCTTGCTTAACAGTGTTTGATAATTAGAAAAGAAACAGCTTTGGCAACAAAAAGATGTTTATAATTTAATAGGGTAGACTGAGTGAATCCAAATTCCTAGATCTCAAGAATGTTGCTTTACAAATTCTCTAGCCTTCTGTAACTGTAATCAGCAATAATCAGTCAAAAATTGTCAATTATTTATAAACTGGTTTGTTCCTGCTCTTTTTCTTTTCGTAAAGAATAGTATCTGAGAAGTGTCTCTGTGTAGGCAATAGCTAGCATTCTGGTATGCAACCATGTCATGTGATGAGATGGGATGTTTGACTTTTATTGAAATTTTCTTCTCCTCTTCAACCCAAAGTAAATAGCTATTCAGTAGGGAGGTGCCCTCACATGTAGTTAAACACTTGTTTTTCCCAGAGGGCCCCTTCAGTATTGCAAAACTCAAGGGCTGAGGCAAAACTTTGGTACCTTAACAGGAATGCAGATGACTATCTAAGAAAACAGCAGCTTTTATGCCATTTCTGGTGAGTGAAGCTGAAGGATAAATTGGTACTGAATAAATGGTAATTCCAACTTGTAGTTACCAGTTGGCTGCAATATTCTTTGAGACAAAGAGATGTGATAGAAGGTAAGGATGAAAAAGTGGCCTCCAGCAATTTCCCTCTGTCTGTCAGAGAAAATAGACACCCCTATAGAAGATAGAAACATTTACACTGTAAAATGCTGCCAGCTTGAAACAGTATCTGAAATGCCTTGGAGTGTCTGTCTTTCATTGATTTTTCTCTGAGGAAACTTAAGTCTTTTATTTCTTGAAGCTCTGTATGTTCCTTTTTTTAAAACATATATAATGTAAAACTCGTTAGTCCACTTAATCATGAAGGTGACAACGAGTTGAAGAAAAAATAATATAAAATTGTTTCTTTTGTATGTTAACACTATTGAATGAAAACATGGAATTACAAGGTTTCATTTCTAAGTGTGCAGCAATAGTCAATTCTCTTTCTTTTCCTCCATTAATACAGCATTAATTGTAAAAGAACTGCAGCTTAAATTTTTTGTTAGCTCAGTATGTTAGGGAGTAAATATAAGTTCACACAGGTGTTTTCAATATTGTGCTTGATAAGCTAAGATTGCTCTGGACTATATTTGCTCTGGACTCTCATTTTCATGTTTTGGGGATTTGGGATTTTCGGTTGTGTTTCGTGTGGGTTTTTTGTTGTGTGTTTTGGGTTTGGTTTTTTTTTTGTCTGGGTTTTTTGTTGTTGCTTTGGTTGTTTTTTTTTGTTTGGATGGTTGGTTTGTGTTGTTTTTTTTTTTTCCCTTGGTTTGGTGTTTGTGGTTTTTTTTGGTTATTGTTGTTGTTTTTTGCTTTATTTTGTTACCAAAAAGAAATTTATTGTAATATTTTGGATAGGTCAGATAAGAGCCAACCGTTAAGTGTAGCCAGGGGCTAGACTTTCAAGGGATTTACTAATTTAAAGTGACTTTTTTGGCTCTTTTAAAATAATATCTCTTAAGATATACTGAATACTTCTTTGAAAGTCTGGAGTATTTGCTGAAGTGTTAAGCTGAGTTCCAGAACTTGGCCTGTCCAGTTACACTGAAAGCTATTTTCTACCTTTTCCCCTAACATGTAAGCGTACTGATAAGGCAGTGTCTGAAGTGAGGAATTATGTGCATTTTACTTAGGGCCCTGGGACATTGATTTTGCTAGGTACCATTTTTCAGTGCTGCTGAGTTTAAACTTATCTCAAATAAAAGAGAATCCTTCCAACAATCCCTCTGGCTAAGAGCCAGAGAAGAATAGTTATAACTAACCTAAATAATGAAAGTCTTATGTTTGAAGACAAGAACAGAAGCAGGGTCTCCTAGGCATTTACCCTAGGCACCTGTTTTTTTCCATGTGCCTCTAACTACCTCTACTTCCATTTCTTGCTACCCTTGCCTCCACACCCCCCAGTATCAATGTCTTTAACAGTGCACAGGTTTATTTGAAGCATGGGTTGCACCCGTCAATTACTTTCAAAGCTACTGCAGAGCCAACTATTTGCTTTTTAAAAAAAGCATTTTAATGTCTTCCAATTTATTTCTGTCCTGTGTGAGTAATAAGCACTGTTGTTATCCCAAGGATTTATTCACTAGCCCTTTGCCAAAAGCTTTTGTTACACTTTTAGACCCAAAGACCACAGGGTGAAATTTGAGTGGTTTAATAGATGTTTAAGGTAGTTTATGGTACATTCAAATATCTTTTGCTGTTGTATTTTTGTAAGACTATGCAAAAGACTTCTCTCTTCAGCACAGGAAGATTCAGACAGTAGAAACTAGGAGGAAGGCAACAAATGCTAGACTGTGTCTAGCATTATCTTAGGGATCATGTAATGCTGCTTTTTCAACCAAGCCTATCTTTGCCCAGGTTATATGCATTTTTGAGCAGGCCTGCATTTACCTTTTAGCGTGTACTTGTTTCTTAGTCATGTCAACTACAGTCTATGGTTGTTAATATTGTTAATTTAAGCATAATGTCCAAATCAATATCTCCTTCTATGTACAGATACGACAGTATAAGCCTCTTTGCCAAATCTTACAAGCTGCTTAGTGGACCAGGTTGAATAAAAAGTTCTGAAAGGCAAACCTCTGCCACAGTTGCTTTCCTCTCTGCACCCGCTTTCCTCTCTGCACCCGCAACAACTCTTCTTCTTTGTTATGAAGGCAATAGGGCATCCCACCTGGTTAGCTTCATTAGACAAGGAAAAATAACTTTCATGATGGTGAAGGTATTGGATATATTTTTTTATTGGATATATTTTAACACCTGACTTGCTTGGGAATAAAGCATTGGAGATTAAAAGTGTAACTGGAAGAAACAAACCAAAATTCAAATTAGGATTTGGTGCTTGCTTGTTCTGTGACTTTCCTAAGACCAGAAAGAGAAGCATTTAAGTCCTGTTTCTGTGTCTGCACCAAAGCATGCATACACTGAACTACCTTGCACGTCATATATATATGAATGTTGAGTCCAGTAACCAAAGAAAATGTGAAGGGCATAATCAGTCATGGCACCATTTGCACATGATGTTAGAGGTCATAAAATCAATGCATGTGCATGAATGCACTTGTGAGTTATGATGCCGAATTAGTCATAATTGTTGAATGACAAATCTCTGGGAAGACTTACAAAACAACAGACAGCATGAAATTGGTTGGAATTTTCTTGGGTTTTTTTAGGCCACCATGAAGCAATAGCAATCTTCTTTTTGGTAAATCCTGAAGTAATCATATTGTTCTGCCCTTTAGCTGGTCTTTCAACATCACGTACCTTGCCTTTTTTGGCTAGATTTCTTTCCATTGACTCTTTCCTCTTGGTCCTGCTTCAGGATTTCAGCTAGCCACTGCACCACTCCCTTCATAAGAAGACTAATGATTTTGTGGTGTGATGTTCACCCTTTTCTGCCCATCAGTAAACGTGTTCTGCTGATTAGAAAGGCCTGACGAATTTCTGCTTACAGCTTGTGCAAAATGTGTTTTTTTGTTATGAAGGTGGCTTGTTATGAAGGTGGATCAGGTAGCCTTGGTTCTATGACACACGTTGGTTTTGAAGGAGGGCTCTTCCAGCAAATTTGGCATGCTGGGATTTATTTGGATTATCCTGTAACTGTCCGTTTTGTTCAATCTGGCACACAGGTTAATTAAGCATACGTGCTAAGTTTCTGCCATTGAATATATACATCAAATACTGAAGAACTGAGAACTTTTCATGGAAAGGTTTCTGCAGCAAACATCTTCTACAAATAGTGGTTCTCTTTAGCGAGCCATAGAGAGGGTTTTTTCCCCTTTGCATGTATTTTCAAGGTGGTATTAGTACTTGCATAACCACTTAATATATATGTGCTGGTGTTTTTTTTCTTGACTTCAGAAAAGAGAATCATAAAAGACTAGTCCTTCTGAGTCCCACAACTTTATTACTTCAGTGTCTCAGTTTTGAAGAGCTACTTGTCTCTCAAGTAGTACGGGCTAGATATTGTTTCTCTTATCTTATTCTGCACCTTGAAGAATGTTTCCTAATCTGTTACCCATTTGAGAGACTTGCTAAACTTCTGAAGCTCATCTTAGGCTTCTGGTGTCGAGATATACCGTGTCTCCCTTTCAGTAAATACATGTAAAATATTTTTTATATGAAGAACATTTGTTTCTAAGTCATTTAGGTACAATATAAATTTTCCACTAAATACACATAACTTATTGTGTTAGTATATGCTTGTATTGAGCATGTGTAGATCATCTTCAAGTACTTTTTTTTGAGAAAAGTAAATACTATAATTATCATCATATAAGCTTACTATATATTGCTTCTACTATTGCTGTAATACTTGAAAATAACTCACGAGTCTCTTGAGTCCCAGTGCAAAACTTTTAAGTTCTACAAGCAAATTAGGAAATCAGAAAACTCTGCTAAATGTATGTGTGCCTTAACTTCCCTTTTCAATATGTGGACCTGTTTAGAAACACCTAAAGATCAGTTTATTAAAGGTGCCATAGCATGGTGCAGCAATTTTATTAATAATGGCAATATTGTGAAATTACACGTTCCATACTTAACAGAAAGAGCAAATTAATTATGTTGACCTTTTAGATGGCCCCTTTAAGCCTTTTTGTTTTATACTGTGGTCCTGTACAGTTTTCAGCAACCAGTGTTTTTCCACTATTTTACACTTAATGAGCATAACTAATTCTTGCTGAAAGCCTAGTGGTATAGTAAGAGAAATGCCACAGTTCACTGTGTGTGTGCTGTTCCAGCTGTAAGGAAGAATAATCATGAATTCTAAACCTCAACATTTGGAGTATACACTTGCAAATTCATGAAGTGTT